GTTATTTCCTACATCTCCCCTTTTATTTGATTTTTCTTATTATGAAACACATCCAAATTTATTTTTAATTAATTTTTATTTTGTTAATTATGGAAATTATCATTTTATTTCATAATTGGAACAATCTGATTAATTTCTATTTATTATCTTTTAATTTTAAATCTTCTCCCATGTCTATGGTTATTTCGTGTCGCCTCGCGATTAATAAGCATGAGTAGTTAGTGGCAAATCTAACGTATTTGTCAGCTTTTTATGTTTCTGCTTTCAGGAGTGGATCTAACGTATCCATCGTACTGGAAAGTCGTGCAAAAGAAGAGTCTCTTTCTTTTTAACAGTCTTAATTCAACAAGACTTCTCAGTAGACTCTTTCTGCACGATTGTATATTTGTATTCTCAATAAAGGATGTTTCAGTACCCTTACCCTCCCCCTTAGAGCATATCTCTAGGGTTATTAGATTCTAGTTTTAAATTATCCCTAGGATCCTGAGATGGTTGAACACTATTACGATCCACCTGCAGCTCTTCTGCAACCCTCCTTGTTTTCAATTCAATCATATATATTTGCTTTAATTTTAATAATTAAAAGTAGCTTCAATTCTTATTAAAGAAATCTTTTGTATTTGATTGGCATTTGTTCCCTACACTCCGCCCGTCCGCCGCGTGTCCTCCCGTAACTGTTGCTCTGCCTATTATGGGGGTGCCGGTAATTCCGCAGACTAGTCAGTTTTACTGACAGGGTCTACCAGGGTCTTCCTTCTTCCTCTAGTCATTTGGCATTTCAATACTCTAGTTTTCTCTTCGCTCGGGCGAAGTTCACTATTAACTTCACTATTAACTTCCTGGTTAAGGTTAGGCATTTAGTATGGATCGAATGAGCTTTTGCTTGGTTCACACTCTATATCAATTTTGGAGTTTGCTTTATTATTTCGAGTGATTCTCCATTTGTCGTCGGTTGTATTGTATTTATGTAATGTCTGTGGCGATCTAACGTATCCCCACGTGTTTCTCTTTCAACAGATAAAGTTTACCTCTAGACTGTTGCGCTCGATCTGTTCCTTTTTGCTGTGAAGGTTCAGGTCTTGCTGCTGTGTCGGGCACTCTGGAGGTGGACCAAACTATAGAATTTCACAGTAAAAACCATAGACAAATTATATAATTAGGTGGCAATTGATTATCCTAAATGTCCAATTAGGCAGTTATGATAATATAATTGCTAGAGAACTAATTAATATTGTAAAGTGCAATTTACTATAGAAGTTAGTTCTCTCTTTCGTTAGGTTAGATTAAGTTTTATTTGTAATACGCCCATTTTGCCAATATTTCTCTTTAGTTTTAAGTTAACATCTCAATCACTCTTACTAACTCTTAATAACATATCCGAGGACTCTCCATCCTTTCCTAGAACCGCCGAGTCTCCGGTTCGCATTTACCCTTATCCTTTCCCTATATCCCCGTACCCCTTACCACGAGGAATTTAATGGGTTGTAATTTATATTTTTAATTTGTAAAAATATAGAGTAGTCACAATGCAAAAGCGCTTGATTATATTATAATGCATTGCATATTACACATTCATAATATGGAAAAAATAATATAAAAAGTAATAAGAAAACCATATTATATAAAAATGTATAAACAAATAGATACAAAAAAAATATTAATAAAAATAAAATATGGATTAATAATAAAAAAACAAACATATATATAAAACAAAAGAATTAAAAAATAAAAAAGATGAGATAGAAAATGGACGTTCCATTTATTCCTCTCCTGTTAAATATTATAATGATGTTCAATGTGCAATGCAATTTTATTTTGATTGTAATTATAAATGTGTATCGTATTTTTTAATACGATCTTATAGATTGTGTAAACGTATATTTCGTTCATGTTTTGGGTCGGGTGTGTGTTATTTCTTTGTGTTCTTCTGTTTCAGGTACCTAGGTCATAGCTTTTCCTTCTATCCTAAATTTCCCTATTTTCTTTTTGATTCCTCCCGGGTGTGCGGTCGCGCGTTTGCTCTCATTTGCTGTGAGTGAGAGCAACGGCATCCACGTGGCCGCATGTCCAGGTGCCAAAGGTATATCATCTTCTCTCGAAGATGATAACCTGGTATCAATTCAAGCGCAAAACATAGCCTCTGAATTGATTCAAGACCGTTTCGCATTTAACCTTCACGAGGTTGCACCTGTTTCATACAGAAAATGTTACGGATCTCGTTTTGATCCACTAGATGTACCATACGCTGGTTTATCTAGGGGATTAAAATTAAATTATATATTAAAAATTCGCTTTCGCCCATTAAATTCTTACACAATTAATCTATTTTTAATGGCGAACCAGAGGAATAAGTGTAACCTATCATATCCTTCAATAACTCTTTAATTTATTTTCCACACGTGCCAACATGTTGTTCAAAATGATGGATTAAAGGAATCTTGAGATATCTATCTACAACTGGTTCCTTACTCTACGTGTAAGATTTTTGTTTCGAGTGCGAGAGTATTCGGATTCATATTTGGGGTAACAACATGATAATGTTTTACGTAAATTTTAGTTTAAATATATATTTGTTTCTTCTTACAGAAATTGTACCAACTTGAGATATCTTCAACTGGCTTCTTGGTAGACGGCAGCGATATGTTCCAGAATATGTTCCAACATATAAAATTAACATCACGGTTACACTAAATTTCTTAAATGAGCGGTAAAATCTAAGGAAATTACATGTCAAAAGGTGATCGAATAGAAAAAAAATGCACGTGTTAAGTAAATAGATATTTGTATTTAATTTATGAAGATTACATTTAATAGATCTAGAATAGAAAATATATATATATACAAAATAAATTGTAAAGAGATTAACAAAGTAAAATAGGATAAAAAAAAAATTATTGCACTACGAATGCGGTTATGATTTTAAAATGTCTAGTAATTAGATATAAAACTATTTAATGAGGTGCGTTTTAGACCACGAGTCTTTTCTGTTCAATAGAACGATGTCATCTTCGGAACTCTCTTCCTGCGAATTATCAATATCGCTATGGTCGTCATCATCGTCGTCAAAATACGGTCGTGTGATTGGCTTATTGTAATCTAAAACACAGTTCAACAATATAATCTGATTTCAATTGTAAATGAATAAGACCGAACCTTTCATTACGTGATCAAATTCTTCGTTCGGATTTTGCGGTAATAAACCGTACTCCTTGTCGTTTTTACATTTACAGCAACAAAATATTATCCCTCCGATTATCATCATTATCAGTACTGAAATAATGAGATTAAATTGATTAATTCTGTAGTATTGTATATAATTAGAATTATTTACCAATAAATATAATGAATACTGATCGAGGCATTCCCCAGACGTGCTCGTTGCGAACAAGAGTGAACACAACTAGACTAGGTTGTTTTTCGTCGATTGTTGTAAACTTCACCATCGGTTCATAGCCATCGGCAACTACTTTAAATGTATACTGTCCAGGCGCTACCTTCAACATGTAACGACCGTTCGTGTCTGAACTGATGTTCAAATTTTTATCGTTCATTAGAATCTGTGCATTCGGTATTGGGTGATTCAAGTTGTCACGAACGAATCCTGTAAAAATACAAATAAAATACAGGAGTTTTTAGCTTCAAAGAGATTACTAGCACACAATTGTTTGTGTAATTTATACTTACCAACAATACCGGCGCCTGCAATACCAAATCCACCGCCTGGTACGATCTCCTCAATAACATTTCCATCCGAGTCAAGAATAGTCCTGGTAGTACTTTCAGAGATCTTCTTGATTTCGCCATTCTTCATCATTAAAGTCACGTTGCAATTGGACATTTTGTATTCTATTACATCGACTTTCAGCATCTTTGGCCTGTATTCGAAACCGTTGGATATCTCTAAAATGTAGTGGCCGGGCGGCAGCATGATCTTGAAGTGAGCCAACCTGGGCGTGACTTGGTGCAACACATTAATGCCTTCAACCCTGACGGTAGCATTGGTCAACAACCGATTTTGTGAATCTAAAATTGTTCCTTCGACCCCTGTGCGTGTTTGGCTCAAGAATTTAATAGCCGGAGTGATCACCTCTCTCCAGATAAATGGGATATTCTCTATCGATGGGTATTGGCAACAGCTAACCTTGGCCGTGAACATTGCTGTGCCGTATTCGCTGGCTATGAATTCTGTCAAGTTTCCGTCGGTGGCCGCGATGTTATTTTCGCAGCCCTGCGTATACTTCAGCGCATTCAAATAGGTCTGCGCGAATTTCTCGTGCACATTCAACGGACCTCTAGACTTTGGATAACTAAAATTGAAGAACATCGATTACACAATATTCATAATTATAACTCTCATAAAACCTACACGAATCCTCCTCTGCCTCCTTCGAAATTTAACATCATATCGAATTTCTTGTCCAGCAACAGATGCTTAAACGCGTTTACGATATTCGCCTGTGGATTACCGCTGCGAATACCGTCGCCCATCAGTTCCTTACCAACTTCCCGGAAATCTGCAGAAATATTGTTGCAGATGAACTTATCCGGCTTGTTTATGCCCGATGCAAATTTGGGATAGTCTCCCCAGATCTTCTCGAAGGCCACGTCGATCACGGGTATTATCGTTATTACGGTATTTTCCAAGATCGAGACAATATTCGGATCGCCGAATTTGTAGCCTTGCAGCAAGTGCCTCGCTAAATACACTGATATCTCGCGGCCAATCGGTTGCGTCGCAAAAAGATTTCCAATCACTGCCACCTGGAATTTCGTTTCGTCCGACGAATCAATCTGAAAAAAGTGTATATAATAAATAAAACATACTAAACTATTTTGTATTAGCGAAAAAATAATGAATAATGTACATTGATAATATTTACATATTCGGCGACCGAAACATTGTTACGTTCATGAATGTTAGCTAATGTCATCAAATTCCGCAAAAAATGGGTCATGTCGTCTTTACCTTGTCCGTTATTTTAAGTGAGTGTATGGTCATTGAAATGTAATCTTCGCCGCCTTCGAATTGTGCGGATGAGGGATACCTTGTCTCCAGCTGAGCGAGTAGCTTATAGATATCGCTGTTGGAATGATATTCCGGCTTGTATTGGTTCTCGGTGATGCCAAAGTCGTAGGCGCTTGCCCAGTGGATGGGATCGTCGCGCATCAACGTGAAATTAACCTGGATCTGACCACCATTCTCGGGCACGACGATGGTTTGCGTATCGCTTTCGTATCTGCAATATGAACATTAGTTAAATTGGGAAAAGCTCTCAATTAAAGCATAATTTACCCTCTAGCAGCAACAGTCAAATTGTAAGTTCCCGGTAAAAGAATTCGGTAGTAATCTCCGGTCTTGGCGGTGCGAACGGCGTGGTTGTTCCCTTCCACGTAAACCTCGGCGTTGGGGATGCCGCGACCGATTGTGCTGAAGACGAAACCTTTGACTCCGCGATGTACTTGCTCGATGTAAGATAGGAGAGCGTCGTGGTTGTCCAACCAGTAGTTGGGCAGTTGCGCTGCCTTCGGAAACTTGTAGCAACCCAACTCAAGGGTGATCTCCATGCATCCAGCCACCAGGTAGTTCCAGTCTTGCATACCGCCAGTTACGCTGTACCATTTGGCTCCATTAGTGATACCACCTTCGAAATGCTCCTTGGGGAATAACGGGCACGGTTTTCCCAGATGCATTTTTCTGTGCGCCTTAAAGACATATTAAAAATAAAACATTCGCTGCTTTAGCAAAGATGATTATAACATACGTCCGAATATGTGTGGGCGAGATTTTTGAAAACGTTGTCATCGGGAGAAGGATTCGCTTGACCGATGTACTCGTTGCTGTCGGGATTATCGTCGTAGGGATAGTTGGCTACGAGCGCTCCGTTGTGCAGGTTTGCAGAGAGCACAAACGGTTCGGACAGAATCCAATCCATCATAGCTTTCGTCTCAGGCTCCGTCACTTTGTTAAACTACAAATATAAACACGTCTCATAAAAAATGAATATACGCAACAAATAAAAACGATTTCAAACGCACATTATTAATAACGTATTGATCCGGAAAATTGCGATTCAAGTCGACGTTGTTCGCGTTGCTTCGACCAATTGTGCTGTCGCTGTCGCCTGTAAATAACCATTATTATTCACGACATTCAGTTCGAGGAATTAAATGAGCTTTACCCTCGTGGGACATCTCATATCCATCCGGATTCATGCTCGGCATTATATGTATCCTAGTTGTGTTCAGCATCTTCGTAATACGATCGTTAGACATGTAATTTTCGCAAAGGAATTTAATGAGGAGTAACAGCATTTCGCGACCGACCACCTCATTACCATGCATATTGGCAACATACTTAAATTCCGGTTTACCTGCAACACAAATTACCCATTCGCAACACTCGCATCGCATCATTTCTTAGCTTAGTTTACCTGGAACGTGTTTGGTAGGTGTGTTTCCCAACACGAAGACATACAGATTACGTCCTTGCACGGATTTACCGATAACCTTCAGATCAGTGATATTCGGATAAGTGCTGTTGTACTCCAAAAGGAATCGTTCCATGTCAGTGTAATTATGATGGTGGAACTCTAAACCGGGATCGATCATGAAGCCGTACTGATCGAACATCGGCCTCGTCAGATTAACAATCTCCTCATAGGCACCACCTAAAAAATTGAGTCCGCATTTAACTCAACTAAGATCTATCTTAACAGCATAAATGTGAATTTACAGGAAAAAATTAGTATAAAGGATTGATGAAGGTTTTTCTTTTCGGTACTAGAAGCTGGTGTGCAAGTAGAAAAATGAAAGTGTCGTAAAAAAAAATCCGTTTCTTTCTAATATATACATATATTTGTTCAACTCTAGAAATATATTTTTTTTTTTTTGGCGTATCAACAAATAATATAATTATTGAATACACACAATCATATACATAATCAAAACAGTCTATAAAATGAAAATGCAAATAAAAAAATATAATAAACAATTAAAAAAAGATCACTACTTCTCTTTAACAAACAACTCGTGAGGTATTGCGATTATGATTTGTACTAGTGTTAATAGCTAATAAGAGATACTTGAAATTATATAAATAGGTGCAGTCGTAATTCATGCATGATTATTGTACATTTTTAATAGCTTTTAGATATCTCCTTCTATCAAGGAACGAAAAAATATAATAAATAAATTTGAGCAATTTTCGATTCTTTTAAAATGATAACAGAAGTCTAATTAGAGATTCATCATATAGAGAACATGCAAACGCAGCTTCTAGTTTGTTCCATTTACCATACTCTACACCACAAATATAATCTTATACGATTCGAATGTAAGAGTTGCGTAACCATCACCCGCTATTTATTGCCCCACCACCTAACGTTTAAGCCTAATAAAGATCAATTTATGCCGAGTTACTTAGTTATAGTACCAAGAAAATAAATTAGTTTGGCACAAGAAGAAATGGTAACTTAATCCTTTACTTGGACCACGCCCATCCACTTCTGACATTACCTTTGGTGGGAACGGCGCGCTCCAAGATGAAATGTTGAACGGTCGTTTGGTCTTTGCTCACGGTTACGGTGATCGGTTTCGATGGTTCATAGCTAGTAAAGAACAACAAAAAATAAATAAAATGAAAGAAATGGTAAACAATCTATAAATAAACTGGATGTGGAATTAAAAGAAGGCTTAATCTGTTTTATTGCTATTCATTTAAAGACTTTCGTATCGCGAGATAAGCGTTTATAGGAAGTGGCCAAAGTGCGGAAATTCAACTTTTGCTTGTTTTATTGAGCGCGAAGCGAAACCGCATACAAAATCACTCAGTCGCAAAATGCCATTTACTAAGCGTGTTGAAAGAACAATGGAGAAAATAAATAAATAACATTATTGCTAGATAACATTCAAAACGAAGCGATAGAGTAAATTGAAAATCTTACCCATAGGCGGTGGCGAACATTTGATACTCCCCTGGTAACAATAATCTCCAATACTCTCCGCGATTGGAAGTCGTGACGTTATGATTGATACCAATTACAACTACGTCTGCGTCTAGGATTGGTTCTTTGCTCTTGTCCGTAACTAAGCCTTTAGCACCCCAATGCACAGACTCGATGAACGAAATCATAGACTCTTTATTTAGGTGCCACTCGCGAGGCAACACCTTGGCCAACGGGAATTTACAGCAGCTCAACTCGAAAGTCACCTCGAAGCAATTAGAATGGACATAGTTGAAATCTTGCATGCCGCCTACAAAAGAAAATCAAAACATAAATAAAATATTATCCAAATAAAATAATTTTTCGTTAATTACCTCTAACTTCATACCACAATGCTCCGTTTGTAATACCATCCTTGAATTTATCATGTGGGCATGCCTCACCCTGAGACATTGGTGCATGGGGTTTGGCATAGGTCAAAGCCAATTGTTTAAAAAGCTCATTGTCTGGACTTGCACTCTCCTTGCAGCAAGTTCTTCTAGCTGCAGAGTCATCATATGGATAACTGGCAACAACAGCTCCACCATGCAGGTTTCCAGAGAGCACAAAAGGTCTAGAAATAATCCAGGTCATGAGTGAGATGGTTTCAGGTTGCCTTCCAGACAAAATAGTTCCTGCAAAACAAAAACAAAACGATTAAAATATATTTTAATGAATCTGTCTGTTACAACTTACCAATTCTAATTGGATCAAATTGGTCTGGGAAATCCCTATTCAAATCGACATTGTTTTCATTTTGCCTACCAACATATCTTTCCTTGGACTCACACATTCCCTCCTCAGAGTTCTCAAAGCCATCAGGATTCATGGATGGCATCAGGAATATATCAGTGGAGTTCACAAGCTTTGTAACACGCTCATTCTTTCCATAATTGGCCAGAAGGTATTGTGCCATGTAAATGGTCAACTGTCTACCAATGCTTTCATCCCCATGCATGTTTGCAACATACTTAAACATGGGGGTCAACTGTGACCTCTCCTTCTGCACGTTCGCGTTGATTTCCAATGCCCACAACTCGCGATTCTTAACAGACCTACCCACCGATATCAGCTTCGCCAGATTCGGATATTGCTTTTGCAATTGCTTAAACAAGTCAGTCAGCTCATCGTACTTCTGATACTTGGGATTTTCCAGGAAGTCTTCGATCTCGTTGTTGGAAGATAGATCCACTGGGCTGCTGAGGGATTCCCTTAAAATTAATATCACAAACACTGGGATGCAGTATAGTAGCTTCATATTGCTTGTATTTAGATTTTTCTTTCTTATGTAAATATTGCTTTAAAAAGGTGTAAATTTTGTTGTACGTCGAGATTTCTACTGTATCGCCATTCTTCGGTGATTTTATGGATGGCCAACCATCTACGTTGTCAATTGTGAGAACAGTAAAAAAACACAACTAGGAAGTATTTCGAGGTTAAATACTTGTCAAGGTTAATTATGTTTGATAAATAACTGCACTTAATAAGCGACATCTGGGGGACTCTGCTTAAGTAGCTTTAGAACGATATTTGACTAGGACCGTATTAGATTTATATTATGCGCGACGTATGTAGATCAACGGTCTACGTCAGCAGTTTTATCAAAATACACATGATCCATAGGAAAAATTGAAATGAAACAAACTGTTTTAGCTTTAGTTAGTCTGCATAGTTATTACTTTAATACATGATATAACTAAGACAAGTCGCATATCTTTGATCATCAGAGTATCTTTGTACAATCAATAGTATTGAACTTTATTCATTCATGTTTATCTGATTTGAACTCTGGTTTTTTTATAAATGAGGAACTATTTCTGTCTCCAATTTATACTTTTCAATGATAAAATTTGTATCACGGTGCCTTTTGTAATGGAATTCTTATAGGATCGAAGTACAGAATTTCGAATCGGTTTTCTTATCGGAATTTTTGTTCACTTACATGATACAAATATAATTATTTTTAAATTAATTTTATATCTAATTTTTGTCAACCTACACTTGCTATAATATAATTGAACTGTATGCAACACAATTAGCACTGATATGTTCTAGAAATGATTTAATTTATAACACAATTACAAATATGATTCACAATATAATCTCATAATTGCATTTAGAATCTCTTATCAGGTGTTCTAGATGAATTCCCATCTAATCATATGCACGAACGGCATGTTTGCTTTTGAATTTGTATCTCGGTTCTGTCACGGAGCCTTGGTCACATGGTCGCATGTAGACGTCAAAGGCTATTGAAATACGGTTCAGGTCTCTGCATAAATCGGTCGTCTGTTTGAGAGGAGGTCACACAGTTTTGCTTGAAAACCGTGCGCCAATTATTTTTATATTTTGTAATTAAGTATTCAAATACAAACATGTTCTCCAGGGTATTCAAGCCAGCCGCAGTCGCGAGACAATTCAGCACCTCCAAACAGGTAAATATACACCCAAAAAGAATCCATCATTTGAAGATTACCATTGTAAAGCGTCGTTATCAGTTGTTTGTCGTATTCCGGCGATCAATTAAATTTCATTATGTAATTGTTTGTGTTGCTGCTACTTCTGCTACACTTTTTTTTCTCTGTTTTCATCAAACGCTGTAATTAATTGATTTCTTTGCGACTGGATTCTTATGTTTTAGATATAAATAGAAGGAATACGTGCGTACATATTTATTGGGGTATTTTTAGTGTAGGAAATGGTCCAAAAATTAATTTTAGATGAATTTTTATTCTTCAGGCGCAGAGTCTGAATATCTAGTAGCTACATTGCGTTTTTTTCCAATTGGAACACGATTCACACGACTTTATATTCCAATCGCGTTATATTTTCATTGTCTTTATTGCATATAATCGTGACGGAGATAAGGATAATGGAATATTACAGTGAACTATGCAATTTTATAAATCACTGTTAATTTTAATAAGTTGTTTTTATTTTTTGAAATTCATAAGTTCCTAATAATAACACGTGCTCAATTATGCTAATTGTTTCGTGCTTGAATCTGTTAAATTTGTTGTTTCAATAGATCGAAGGTTTTCATAAAATAGTATAGTTTCACCAATTTATTAGTATCTCAAGTCTAAGTAAGCTTGGATCATTGTAATTCGATACTGAAAGGTTATAGGAAAGTCAAAATTTGTTTTTGATGATAATCAGTGGTCATAGGTTTTATATAACACGGTGAAAAAAAAAACATGTACGATGGACCTGTTTACGTTACGTAATCGGCTGCTGTAAACAGAAAACTAATTATGTGATATTGTTTCTCCTCTATCTTTAGAACAACTTCAAAGTTGCCGTCGCCGGAGCCAGCGGTGGCATCGGTCAACCACTTTCTTTGCTCCTGAAGCAATGTCCGTTGGTCACCGAGCTCCGTCTCTACGACATCGTGCACACTCCCGGTGTCGCTGCCGACTTATCACACATCGAGACCCCTGCCAAAGTTTTAGGGTCAGTCTTGCCATCACTTACATGGTTCGTTTGTATTTAATTCATTTAAACTTGCAGTTTTAACGGACCTGATGCCGCTAAGGATGCCTTCAAAGACTGCGATATCGTTGTCATTCCAGCAGGTGTACCACGTAAACCAGGTATACATGATTATAGTCTGTTTTTAATTAACAATATTCGTTGAACATAGTTATTGTGTTTATATGATAATCATCATAGAAGTACAATGAAAATGTAGTAATTACAATTTGACGCGAGTATAAAATTGTTAAGTCATTGAGCAAGTATTTGATATTTGCAGAAATTGTCATTATTGATTGCAGTGTTGCATTTTTCTATAAGTAATCTCACTTTTGTAACTGCGCTAACGACACGATACTTGGCAAGTGTCCAGTCAATCGATTTATATTATAATAAAATTTGGCACTATATTTCATGTATTTTCCATTCTAGGTATGACCAGAGATGATTTGTTCAACACGAACGCTGGAATTGTTCGTGATATTGCCAAAGCCTGCGCCGAGGTGTGTCCCAAAGCTTGCTTGGCCATCATCTCGAACCCAGTCAATTCCACCGTACCGATTGCCTCTGAAGTATTCAAGAAGGTAATATCAGTAGTAATAAATGATTTTGTGACATTTCTAAATAACACTTGACCCTATACATGTAGGCCGGTAAGTTAGACCCGAAGAAGATCTTCGGCGTTACCACCTTGGACGTTGTCAGGGCTAACGCTTTCATCGCTGAAGCCAAGGGACTGAACCCGATGGAAGTTAACGTGCCGGTCATCGGAGGTCACGCCGGCATCACCATCATGCCACTGATCTCTCAAAGCAAACCCGCCGTCGACTTCCCCGCCGACAAGCTCAAGGCTTTGACCGAAAGGATCCAGGAAGCCGGCACGGAGGTCGTCAAGGCCAAAGCAGGCGCCGGTTCCGCCACCCTCTCCATGGCATACGCCGGAGCCAGATTCGCTATCTCCTTAATGAGAGGCATGAAGGGCGAGTCCAACGTAATCGAGTGCGCATATGTTCGCTCCGACGTTACCGAAGCCACCTACTTCTCTACTCCGTTGTTGCTCGGCAAGAACGGTCTCGAGAAGAACATGGGTTTGGGCAACCTCTCCGAGTACGAGAAGAACTTGCTGAAGGCCGCCATCCCAGAGCTCAAGAAAACCATCCAGAAGGGAGAAGATTTCGTCAACAAGGCCTAATAGAACAAACGCAAGTCCAGTAACAGAAAGGAACTTCACTTTTAGTGCGATATTGTCAAATCAGCTACATATTTTATATCATTTTTTGTATTGTACAAATAGATTAAGTATGTATCCTCCTTTTTATAAATGTCCTTAAAACCATTCACTATTTATTAAAGAAACCAAACTTAATAAAAGCACTGTTATATTTACGCCCACTTACTTTATAGCAATTGTACATGATTCCGTCCAATAGGCAATCAGATATGATACTGTAGTCAACCAATCTCTACCTAAGTTCTAGAATACCAATAAGATCGTTTCATTGGATCACAAAACTTGTTCCAGGTGAATGTGATTGTAAACGAAACCACGAAATTCGGGACCGCGAAAAAAATATAACTGGTATGCAGTTGCAATCAAAGTATATTTTCTTATTGTCACAATTATATCCTCTTCGTTCAACACATTGACAAAGCAACGACCCTCATTATGTTTCCAGTCTTACATCAACAACAACAATCTAGATAAAATGATAAAATAGTACTGGGAGGGTAGGAGGGGGGTGGGCTGGACGATAGGGAAGAAAAATATAATGAAAAATAAAAACTAATTGAAGTTTCACTTTTTCTTTTCAACAAAAAAAAAAGATGTTTTTTTTTTCTCGTAACTATCACAATTTTAAATTCAATAATAAAATGAAACAAAGAAAAGGACAAATCTCAAACCGACAGAATGATTTTGTTGAACAAGAGCCGGAGCTGCATCTTCTGAGTATTATCATCCATCCCCGGTCGAAACCTCGAAAAGATAGAATCTTTAAAAGACGCGTCAAAAAAATAATGTTTGTCGTTCGACGTACACGGGATGGATGGTCTAAGTAAAACACATATAAAAGAAAGAAAAAAAAAATAATAAAGAATAAAAACAATAAAACTGTACAATATAAATTATTGTTATTTTTGTAGCTGTAATCATCATTTTTCTAACTAAAATATTATTACCTATTTTTCTTTTTTTTATTTTTAGTTTACTACAGTTTGCGTGACGGGTTTGTAAATACGAAGAGTTCTTTCTCGCAGAGAAAGAGACGAATGCGTATTAGAAAACCTCTCTTTTAGGCTGGCTTAAGGAGAAACAGACATTTTAAACTTGTTTTTTCTTTTCTTTTGATTATTTAATAATTTAAATACGTGGGAATGGCGAACATCACGCAAACTTGTATAGTAGTTGCATTAGTTGTTTGCTCTTTTTTTTTCTGATTTTTTTTTCGGGGGGGTGGCGGAGAGGGGTAATTTGTTTTATACATTTATAACGACGGTAGGAGTGTCTTTTTTTGTTTAAACTACTTATCTACGAAACAGTAGGTATATATTCCTTGTCCAAAATTAAAAAATAACAGGACAAAAAATACTTTCATTTAAATTGGTTTATCGATACATTCAAGTTTCCTGCAAAGACGAGCAAATTAATATCCTTTCGTATTTGGGTGTGTTTATGTATATTTTTATTCTTGAAATCTTACGTTATCTTTAGACAGGCACGTAGTTGCCCTTGGGTGTGTACCATATTTTGCCGGTGGCCAACCTGCGCAGGAGTTCGCTAGACAACAACCTCTTCTCCTTCTTGATCTTCTGCAAGACACCCTTGTTTTCTTGAGCTCTTCTCGATAAATATGGCAACACTTCGTTGACTGGACCATATGGGATGTACTTGTAAGCGGAATAACCAGATTGACCTGAAGAACGAAAAAGATATGAACGTGAGATGTCGATAAATGTCGAAGTAAGATTATGATATACATACCTAATGGGAAGGTAATGTAATCGCACATGGCCAACAATTGACCAAAACAGATGACCTTATCCTCGGGCTCGATGCCAATTTCCTTCATTTTCTCGATGGCAAATCGAACGGTATCTTCGTTGTGCGAGGCAACCATGATGCCGATCTTCTTTTGGTCTTCTCCGCGATTCTTCAATTCCTTGATGCGTCGCAGGCACTCGGTCAAAGTGCGATGGTACATTTCAGAAGTAGCATCGAAGTTGGGATTTGTTGGATCGGCATAGCCGAGGGCAGCGGCCCTGGCCCTTTCCTGTTCAATGTAGGCGCCGCGAACCAACTTAGCTCCGAAGTAGAAGTTTTGACGTTTGGCTTGTTCAAGATCGGTGGTTACTTCGTTGAAGGCATCCCTCAAGTAACATTGATAGGTGTTGAAAACGACAGCCTTTTCTTTGTTATATTTCCTCATGAATTCTAAGGTCAAACGGGAGATGGCGGGTTGGAAATAAGTCTGTTCGGCGTCAACCATTATACGTACGTCCATATCTTGGGCAGCCTGTAACAAAAACAACAACAATAATATAGTCACACGTAAATAATATTTGATACTAATCGTACCTTGACTAAGGTGTTCATTCTGCGGATCATGTTCCTAAACATTTCTTCCTCTTTGGTTGACAATTTGGTGATTAAGCGAACCATGCGACCCCTCTTAAGGTCTGGCACACGGAAGGTGCTGCTCAATTCTTGGTTATCGTCAACGACTCCAGACCACGGGAACAAGTGCATAATGCTAAAAAAAAATCGAATAATACGTTATTAAAAATCTGATATATTGTCAAGCGCACAAAGCAGTAAATTCATTGGAAAAGCGTATCTAAAATGTTGATTTAAATGGGGGTTGGGCAGGCGACTAGCGAGTATTATAAGATCACGCATGTAAGGAACTGTGAATAGAAAGATCAGTTTCATTATAATAAGTAAAATGGGAACAAAATGAATGAAAGGTCTTCTATTCTATATTGTAACAAACGTAAATAGGGGTCTGGTGTTTCACATAATACTCACTAGGCCTTGTTAGAGTCTTTTTTTGAATACCTAGAAACATACGGACACAGAGGAGACCCATTTTTTTTCCAACGCACAAAGAGAATATCGTTAATTGGGGGAAATAACGGAAACACATATTCGATTTTATGTTCAATTTTCGTTTTTTTTTATTGCTACACCTACCCCTTGCTATCTTCCGTGAGGCTGTCCAAGAATTTAGTGACGGACGCTTGATCGGTGATGTTAGCATCTCTGATCTTCTTCTCCAATTCTTCACGGGTTGTATGATGCGAGAGAACGTTACCTTCGCCGCCCACGATTTCAGTCATGTATTTACGGGCCTTCATGATTACTTCAGATAATTGAAGCTGAAAAATAATAGGATTAGAATACGCGTTGCTTGTTACAAACTAATAATAATAATAATAATAAGAAGAAAAGTACTCACGAGGAGTTGTGGCCTGCCGAGAGCAGTTAGCTTGATGGCGGTGATTCCGGTGCCGTAAGTGGAGCCTATAAAAAAAAGATATAAATTAATTTATCGCCTGAGACTCACTATGGACTACTCGTGACAAAACAATGAAGAACATTAAATAATAATCGAACAATACTGAAAAGATGTGCCACAGCTATAGCTTTCACCAACAACAAAATAAAAATAAATAAAGATACTGCATCGCATTTCTATAAAAAAAAAAACAATAACAACAACGAAAGAAATTATAATAAATAAATAAAGTAAAGGACTATCTACTAGTAGAAATAATAATAATAAATACTTTACTACGGCAACTAAATAAATGATCAAGAGAACTAGTAATGAAATTGCTATAAATTCACAAAAGTGGGGTTACCAAACGTCCTCTTTATTTCGTCCTATCATATATTTCTAGAGAATTGTCATGAAAATTGTTTGGTACAATTGTTAGTTAAAGGTGGGGGATCAAGATAGTAGTTATGGTAACCCCAATGATTAGCTTTTGTAAATTCATGTTATACGTGATTACCACAGCGAAAGAGGAACTACTAGTAAAATTAAGAATACAACGGCAACTTGAAGATTTTGCTCAGCACACACTTACGGGGCCCGTGAACAGTCTTGGATGTGCTATCGTAATCTGTAAAAAAGGGCAGAAAACAAAACAAAACGCAAATATTAGTAATTAGTTAATTATGATTAGAAAGCAACGTCACATCGAGTGAGTGAGATAGAGAGAATAAGAGAAATACGAGAAAGAAGAGTAATACAACAATAATATCCTCTAGTGTTATATAATTTTGGCTTATTTCTGACGCTAAATTATACGTTTAAAATAAATGCGAGTAGCCTAGTTGAGTCATCGGGTCGTAAATAACCTTATTTATCCGTGGGTAGTAGCAATACCCTCCGAACATGAAGTCCTGCCTAACCGAAACGACCATAAAACAATTGCCTTTAAATCGATTTGTTTCAAGTAGTCGGCGATGTTTTTTTCTTCTATGCGGTCAAATTAAGCAAATCCAATTAACGAGAAAATACAAGTCATAATAATAAAAAAAAAACCTCTCTGATTATGTAACACCGCGATGAGCTAAGATTTATTTAAAAAAGCATCACAAATTCGATCACATGCCGAATCCCCTGATCGAATAGACGAGAATCGTCGCATGTGAGCGTATGAATTTGCACGTCACATTCTTAATTATGACCTACATAGGTTGTTACAACAATGAACAGGAATGAGGTGCAAAAATAACTTTTCTTTCCATTTTAATTTTTGAAAATGGTACATTTCGGATTGAAGAAATTTGATATTCCAATCTTTGTAGGTTTGCTACAAAGTGGAGAGATTCGAAGTAAAGTATTCGCGCGGTTACATAAGACTCCCGCGCCTCGATTTATTTACATTGTCATTGTTTTCAGGATATATTTTGTCAAGCATCCAAGAAACAAAAAATCTCGCATCATCTGTACCTCACCGAAAAACCGGGCCAGATCCTGTTTCCAATAATAGCCAGCCAAAGTGATTAACGCTCTCTGCGTTCCCTACGACCGTTTACCTTCTCGGTGCACATCAAAGACGCACCTCAGAAATGACGTCCAGGACTTGCGTAACCGATCGACACGGAATTCGGATTAGTTTAAGCGTGTGTTTCTTTTTTTTTGTTATATATATAATATTTTTTTAATTTGTAAAAGGTAGAAAGGGACAAAAGAAAGACGTCGATGAGGTAACTAAGGAAATTCTGTCCCTTGGACAGGTAGAGGGTACTCACCGGCAACCGCTTCGAGGCATTTCAGGAACGTTTCCATGTTCCTCTCGCAGGTAGCTTCATTAAGATAGAAATATGTACGGGCTGATTGCACCTTGTACCGCCTATCGGCAAAGGTTTTATCCACGCTGTATTGCTTCAAAGACTCGGTATCATCGACATTTGCTTTATCTTCGGGGACAGAGGATCTGCAAAAACGCAAATTGATGAAATACAGAGTGATCCCCGTTGTGCGTGAGTTCAAATAATTACTCGACTTCACGTTTCTCGGCTTCCTCCTGGGTCAAATCTTCTTCTACTGAGTAATCGAGGATCGGTTTTACACCGAAGGATCGGAGCCTCTCCAGAGTTGGACGAATCTTGTACTGATCTTCGCCGGCCACGAAATGTCCGTAGAAGGTGCCCTTCATCAGCGCGGTGAACAGACGGTCGCCGAGGATGGCTCGAGAAACTTTCATCAGCTGCAAAAAGATAAGAAAAAGAAAAGAAAAATTAGTCAAATTTCAAATATTTAAAAAAATATATATATATACAAGGATTACGCATTTGGCAAATCATTGATGCATTTCCTTGCGAACGACGCCCAAAATGGTGGCGGACAGACGATTTGGCGTCGCGACGCTGCCGCAATAAAAATCAATACGCGCATAACTCGGGGAGGGCATCGTTACATAACATCGAACAACATTTTCGCGGTGGTGCGAACGTTAGTCGAACAACAAGGGACAAAAAAAAAACGAGGCAAAGAGTGAAATGTTTTGAGTTAGTTATTTCTGGGAAAAATTTCGCAACCATCTGGCACAAACATATGAACTTAAATATTCACACGAAAAGAAAGGAAATAAAAATCTGCAAAATTCGTGCCACGAAAGTAACCTTGAAGCTCTGATTAAGTTATGTTATTCTTCTTACAAATAAATTACAACTGTATACAACTTTTTTTTTCTTCTAATGCTAACATTGGAATTTTTTTCAATATTACCGTAATTTTTACATTTATTACATAATTGTAGTAGAATGTATTTCTTTTTATTTCGAGTGAAATAAAAAGTGGATATTAAATTCATAAAATTACTTATTTAAGCTTGGGAATAAATATCAATATTTTATGCACTTTAATTAGTTATTAGATTTTAATCTGAAGTAATCACCAGCTTATTTAATTGATAAAATAAGAGATTTTGTATAGTTTCAAATATTTGAAAAACAAAAAAAGGTTCAATTATATTATAATTATTAACAATTATTTCACTATAGTAAGTTACCTTGAATGTAATGTATATTAATGATAATGATAGAATGATAATGTACATTTAATGAAATACTTTAATTATTATTAATATTCTTATAAAAACTTTGGAAATTTTTGGACAATTATTCTGCTTTAATTGGCATCACCATTATTGTTTCGTCAGTAATCTTGTAGCGATTTACCTTGAAATCAATATAGCTTAAGTGCTGGGCGCATAATTGAGAAGGTCGTCCGAAACGCACTGTCGAACCCGGTCGACCTTGGTATAGATTTTCCCGCCAACCGAATGGAATCTCAATATAAATAATTTTCGCTACTTTCACGGAAAACAACAGAGAAAAGATGAAATAAAAGTAACAACACGAATTCTTGAATGTCAATCGTTCGTGAACCTTGTGGTCGTCACATGATGATCGCCAATCCAATTGAGTACCGCTTGGAATGCGATCCATTAAAAATAGATTTTAAACAATTCAAAGACAGAAAACACGATTTTCTCTCTTCCTTCGTTACATCTTCTTTTTTTGCCCTCTATGGCCATTATATAACGACTGGGGGCTTGAATATATTTATAAATCGCAAACGAGCCGGGAATAATTCAAGCCTACATATAAAATCCTAGACGGCCCGGCGCATCCGCCGAACGTTCAATTATGCAACGGGCTAAAAATACGAGTAAATGTACACATAATGACATCAAAGATTATTAGATCGATTGCGCCGAAGGAGCAAACAATCACTCGTCACAGCCATTGGAATTGCATGCGTTACAGCTGTTATTTCAAGAGCGGAAACATTCGTGTCTTCAATTCCGAATGGTCAAAAAGGAAGGCGACAAAAGTCAGCCCGTTTGACTGACGTTGAGCGTGCAGGAGAGGTCGCCTTTTGTTAATACACAACAGCAATTGGCATCTACAAATCGCAGTTCTAAATTCGAACCACTAACACTGACCTCGATCCGCAGTAGTAAGTACTACAGTACTTGGTTCCAAATACGCGTCGAACAACATGTCAACGAGGGTCTTTTATTTTCTACCTGTCAAGGATAATCATTCGACCTATAAATGCTTCGAAACAAAAAAGAAAACTCCCAAGAACCGAAACCTTCTATAGAAACACACGAAAAATAAAAAGAAAGACAAGAAAATAGGTTATCGTCGTCCGTCGGTTAAGTCGCAATCTACATTTTACATAACAGATTTTCAATTTGCGCCACGTAATTTTTACACGACAATAGCAAACGCAAATCATCATCGCATTTTACGGAATTACGAAAATCCAAAACCGACACACCGCAAATCATTAAACGGATGTACGCATGCAATTTGTTTATAAAATCCTAATAATTGCGAACATCATCGGTATTTGCATAACAAACAAAACAAAAATATTTCTGTTGTGTAACAAAACAATTGTGCAAACCGACAATTATTCATAAAATCGGTAAATGTTAAATCCGCTGCGTTTTATAAATATGATTCGGTTAACCGACTATTTATGATGATATATCAGAGATTCTTTGGAACAACGTTCGTTTCAGTTACGAAATCCTTGACGCTGCCTGGACACTCATTATCTGTTATTATTAAACAGATCGCATGTCGGCATAGTTGAAATGACAAAACTAAAATAAAAAAAAACAATTAGATTAACTGCACCGTATAACTGTACCACTGCACGATGGGAATCAAGCATTTAACACGATTTTTACTTGTATTGATTAGAACGAAATTGGTCCATTTAGTGATAGTTCGATGTAGCCATGGAGATTCCAGTCGCTCCCTTCCGAAAATCAATAATCCGCTGTCTTCGAGCATTCGTGAGCTCTCTTTATTTTTTTTTCGTTGTTTTTCTCAAGGATTCTTTGAAATTTGCATGCGAATCAGTGGCGAAAGTAAATTATCAGCGCTTTTTATTTTTTTTTTTATTATTTCTAGAACACAATATATGTATACGTTACGCGAAATATTAACGCAAGTATCGTGAATGCATATTATCGAAGGGGGGAACTTTTCAACTCGACGCTAGGAAGTCCGATTAAGCATTTATATACAACGGTGGAAACGCGACCACGTGGTTCCGAGAGAACCTAAGGTAATGCATAAATAATTGACGTTCCGTGAAACCGATTATGCAACAAACAAACACGTACAGCGGAAAGGTTTTTCTTACAATCATTTTTCGTATTGACTCATACAAATAATCTAATCCGTTTTAATTTTCTACTTTTCTAAATATTTTTTGTTTTTTGGGATTTATTTCTATTTCGTGGGAGCTTCTTCGAGAACCTTGAGCATGATATATATTATTTTTTTTTATGTTTCGTACGCTCGACAGGCCATACAACCTACGGGCTCTGGCTGTGCCGTTACGTAAGCATTCTCAGTGAGTGACTGTTACACTGTTATTACTATAATTACGTTCGGGTTATAATAATAGTAATAGGGCGGCGTTGCCTTGCTTTGCCAAGTGCGGATAGTCTATAGGCCCATATAGACTGCTAAAGGCGAGCTCGGGTACCCCCAAAAAGTGTATTAATATTTTGACCTCAATTTCCCTACGGCGGCTATTTCTGTTGAGTGTACATCCGAACAAACAAAACGTAAAAGAAGAATGCGACGAATGCGAGAAAGATAACTCGGAGCATCTCGTATATATCTTAATTATTTCCGTTATTTATCAATTACAAATAATTGCATAACACAATTTTTGTATTTATTTTTTTTTTGTGAGAACATCGCAATTGTAACCTTGCCAACCAATTGTTGTAATAATCGTAGGAACGGCGATTGATTATCACCTCCCATTTAAATGGCGACGCAAAAGTCGTTTTTATTTTTTTTAGCTCGATTGTATTTTTCGCTGCACGGCATAAATATAACGAGATTAAGCGTGATTCTAGTATGGGATAACTTGATATTTGTCAATTCAGTAACTTAATCTTGGTCGTGGTTTTACTGCTATCGTATATTCATAGCTCGATTCCCATTTGACATTTCACCATTCCTATTTCTTACTTAAATTCCATAATGCAGACGAGAATTTGGACGCTAGAAACTATCCGGCAATCGTTACAGAAAATTATCACTAATTGAAGTTCGCAGCGATAAGCTGTTTTTTCCGCTTTGCATTCCTGTTCTCTCTTTTTTTTTCGGTATTCAATGTACTTAAATAAGCACTATTTACTTTGCTATTACATAAATCTGAATTACTATTAATGTTCTATTCTAAAAAAAAAGTACAGTATTTTTCGCCCCCAAATGTATAAGACACATCTCAATTCTAAATTTTTTTTTTTAATATAAAAAAAAATCTGTAAAAAAAAAATTCATTCATTGAAACTTGAAAACATTCCTACTTATTCAATTAGATGTTGAAAACAATTGCTTATTTAGTGCATAAGTAAAAAATAATAATTAAATTCAATGACAAAGACAGTCTTTAAGTTTAATTCTTAGAATACATATTCATTTCATTGCTGATACAAAACTCCGGAAGTAGACTACCAAGCTTAATCAAAAACGGAAGTTTCCTATTTCTGATTACTGATCTTCTAAAATATAGTTACTTGTAATAAAACTATCTTATATTTGCTAAAATCTCAGATTCTTCGCTTCAAAAATTTTACTTCAATCACGAAAAACAAATAAATTCTAAAAATTTCAATTATCTAATCATTAACATTCCTTAAACTTCTTTAATAATTTTGGGAAATTCCAAATTGCCAACAGCAATAATAAAAAAAAAATGAGGTGTGTTGTTTAATGCTAATCTAATGTTAATTAAAAATAATGAAAGCCCTAGATTATTAAATAGAGTAAACGTAAGTTTCAGTTATTTTAATAATCTAATTGATAGTTTCAACTTTTAACTTTATTTACAATATTAATTGGTTCATTTCAACTAATTAAGTATTAGTTGATCGATTCAATTAGAAATACTTCGTTAATTTAATTCTGATTTTAGCAATGCATACGTCACGTTTGTTGTATTTCGTGCGATGTGAGTTTTGGAAATTCTGCTTTGTTTCTTTTTATTGCTTTAATTTCATGCTATACTGAAATATAGAAGTAAAAATCTCAATAAATTTTTTCCATTTGTAAATTATTTTTTTTTCCTTCCGAACAGTTATTTCAGAAAGCGAGATTTCTTCTAAATGAATCAATAAATATTGTAAATAAATAATAAGATAAAACGTGTTTTTTTTTAATAAATTTCCAGCAATGATCTAATGATTACATGTTATTTTGTGTCAAAACTAGTTTTTGATCTTTAGTTCAAATTGATCATTGGAATTTCAAGTAAAAACATTAATCATTTCCAATATTTCACATAAACAGTGAATATTTTTAACTATAAATTTTTGAAGAATAAAAAAAACTGTAACGTTTGTGAAGTTTTCAAATGAGGGGGGTTGCGATCTGGGGTAGTTATGTCATAATGCCGGAAATGAATAATACGGAAAGGCATGGGCCAGTGGCGTTTTCCCACCAATTCGTTACTTTTCACAGACAGGGGGAGAAAGAGAGAGAAAGCCTCGAAAAATCAATACGAACGGCGGCGAAGGCTATTATGCATGTCGGACGGAGGCAGCAGCCGCCAGTTCGGGGAAGCATCAAAATCCATAGACGGGGCGGGGCGCAGGCGCGCGCTCTTCTATGCCCACGTGCATAATCGATCCGGCAGCGGCCGCGTCACGTGACCGCCGCACGTCAAACGACGACGCCCGACTGGCTTATATAAGCGTCGCGTATTCGCCGGACGCTTCGAATTATCAAAGCTTGAAGTACAAAAAAAAAAAGAAAATCTTATCAGCGCATCCGGACCAATCGGAGACCGGTATTTCAAATACTGAGAAGAGCGTCTTTTAAGAACGCGTCCGCAACTTTCTACCAATTTCATGCCTGCAAAATTGTATTTTAATTTTCAAATAATGAATGAATCATTTATGATCATAATTACATATTGAAATCTTTCTAATCTGGTAGTTTTTTTCTTTTTAATTATATTCTGGTGATTATTATTATTGGTATTGTCATTTGTGGAATAATGCGAGCCTACTATGATGGCATGAAATCGATATTGAAAGGTCAATGGCTCCGGTGCGGAATATACGATTAGTATTTTTTTTTTAGAAACCATTCATTAATTGTTTCGCTAGCACCTTTTGCTATAGAAATTCCGTTACGATCGATGGTCAGCGAAGAGAACATTACTACTTTGGTTATCAATAATACACAATTGATTTTTTTTTTTTGATGACGTTCGATTCCGGTTAGAGACAGCCGCCGCCTCCTTCCGAATCGTTTTGTAATCTGAATTGGGATTGGAATTGGCCCCGCTCAATTGGTGCCAATCTGCAGCGGACCAATTGAGTTGGGCCCTGGTTACGTAATGGAATGTTCGGCGGCTGCCGCTGCCGATTCAGAGGGTTGATGGGTATGGCGGGTGGTGAAATGTGTGCATTTCTTTCTTTCTTACCTTCATGTTGTGGTCGACGAGGGTTTCGAACGAGCACAGGGTGTAGACGATGTAGGCGCGCACCAGCTCCCATGTCGTCTTGCTCTTGAAGGCGGCCTTGGCGTCTTCGAAGGTGATGTCCAGGGGATCCTTGGGGGAGGCGGAGGCGTTCACATTGTCGTTAGCGCAGGCAGCCGCGGTCGACTTTAGGGCGGCGATGGCATGTTGGTTCTTCAACAGCAACAAGTCCTTCTGCAGAAAGCCGACGTACTTCCTATCACATTTTCTCAGCACTGTACGCAAAAAAGCCATTACACGCGGCTAATCGAGCACCACCGATCTGCAGCAGCAACGAACACACGCACACACGAGCAGACGACGAAGAATGAGGGGGAAGGTGTGTCGACGAAAAAATAAATTAGGAAATTTATATAATCAATCGGGACGAGAGGGAGGAACAAGTTAAAATCGTGAACAGAAAATAATTAAAATTACTTAATTTTAAGTATTATTCTCGTTCTGAGGGACGAGAACTCTGCTGAGGGGAGGAAGAAGGTACGATGATGTTATGATGATGTTGCGAGTGTATTTAATTTATCTTCTCGAGAGACTGAGTGTGTGTGTGAGTGTGTATGTATTTGCCTCTTCTTTCTTTGCTTCTGTCTTTAGCACAAATCGGTCAAAGGTGGGCTTCCGTTCTTAAACTATTATGTCTCTATTGTCTCTCCGACTCTGATTGACCGAATGCGGGGACAATGCGAGCGTGCGTGCGTGTGTATTTGTTGGCTGAATATAATATCGTCGTCACACAACCCGTGTGTCTTTTGGATCTTGCTCTTTGGCGGAGGCGGCGATCTCGCTGAATTGAACGCACCGGACAGACTGAAATACGAAATCCGCTCGTGCAAGAAGTGGCCGACGTTCGATCGGATGCCAATTCGCGTGCGCCGCGTTACCACACATAGTCGTCGCACGTCGGCAACACCTGGTGGCGCTCGCGACGCAACCGTCGCTACCACTGGTGCAATTTGTAGCCGCCGCTCGCTCGGACCTCTGGGATTGCTTCGAACAGCAACGACGTCAACTTCTTTACGTCACACAGAGAAATTGCGGAGGCTCGGCCAATCTCACCGCACGGTAATCCACCACTGGTAATTTTCTTCTGGTCGAGGATGCTGGTCGTCTTTTGATTTTCCTGTAATCTACAAACTGGCAGAACACGATTTTCTTGAATTTTCAATACTTCAAATAACAATTTTGGACGCGACACTAATGCCAACACAAAATATGCAACCCCTTAATTATTCGAATAAAAATATAGTTAATTTACAGTTTCGACACCAATTACCAACAATCACTTAATAAATTACATTTACAAAGTCTTAAACTCTTTGAATGAATACTATTCATTTAATATTTTTGCTTCCCAAAACTCCCGGTTAAAATTAAACGCAACATATTATTCAATTGTTATTAACACCAGGTATTTCCAATCTCCGTTATCGTTTGACGTTATTTTTATGTCAATATTTAAATTATAAAGAGACGTGAAAGAGACTTAAATACTAGTGATATTTAAATTCTATACAAACATTATTTCTTTTGAAATTGGAAACACCATTGATCCGTTTTTGTAATAAAAATCACCATAATTCAAAGAAAAAATATGGTACTTTTTTTTTCAAAATATTGTCGATATTTAATAAAAACTTATAACACAAGGGTTTATATCGTATATTTTCAAAGATTCAGACTTATGTAAATTTTAAGATCAAAATGACATAACAATATTATTGTTTGACAGGCAAAAACAAAAAAAACACCAACTAGTAACAAATCAACTGACTACAGTCAACCCTCCTATAACGCGGTACTCTCAGAAAGCGGTTTCCATATAACGCGGAGCTGAAATTGCGACAGCGATTGCAACGCGGTACTCTTACAGCGCGGTTTCCGTTCAACAGTCCCATCAACGCTTAATTCGTGTTGGAAACCTCTTTTACAATACAAGCAATACAAGATGATTCTACAATTTCACTCCCAGTTACAGAAATAGTAAACATTGCTTCTCTTTTAAGCGATGAAGAATTTGCAGTAAACCATCAGGATGTAAGAGAACTAGTACTCGGGGAAGAAACTTGAGATGAGGAAGAACTGATGGAATTAATTGATGCATCCACCTCAAATGCATTGGTAAACGAAAATAAGGAAAACGAATCGCGATTTACAAGATGTGAAAAAAGGTCTAAATTTTGCTTAAGAATTAGAACTTCATTTCATTCAAACTGATCGTTCAACGGTGCGCAGCGCAAAGTTTAAAAGAGAGTTAAGAAATTGCTTAGCTCCTTATAGAGAGGTATTAGTGGAGTTAGAAAAAAAAAGCTACAATCGAAAACCAATGTGAAGATGAACTAAGTGATGAAGACATTTTGCCCATTAAAAGAAGACGAGTTAGGCAACTCATATCTGACAGCGAGGATGAGTGTTGAAAGATTACATAATTTTACAAAAGTCTTCACTGTTTTTGTTGAAAAAACAGTTTTTTAGTTTAGTTCTTGTTTCATTTTTTTATCAATCCTTATATATTCAATTTAATAAAAATAATTTATCTTGTCTTTTGTATTTATTGGTCTCCATATAACGCGGTACCAATGATGTGAATTGTACTAATTCCGAGTTTCTTATAGCGCGGTTTCCATACAACACGGTAGACGGTTTCCATAGAACACGCAACGAATTAGCTTGGTTTGTACGGTTAAATCCGAGTTTCTTATAGCGCGGTTTCCATATAACGCGGTACGCACTCACCGCGTTATAGGAGTGTTGACTGTACTTCATATTACGAAAAAAGCTAAACGATTATTGGTCATAACTTTGAGCAGAATTACTTTAACTTAAGTAATTCTCATAGATAATATTGTAGATATGAGAGAACGAATCCAATCTTTATTGAATGACTTCACCTAATCAAATCAATTATTCTTTCTTCTTTGGGTGCCATTTTCTATTAGTGTTAATTTACACATGACAAGTGAAGTATCTTCTGTCACATAGACTTATCTGACTTTCATGATTATTTAGCCTAAACAAAATCTTATTCAACTAATGAAACTAAATATTATTCTTTATTTGTTTACTACAATCGCAATTAATAGCGTCATAACTTCCGAGAAATAAACACGAACAGTAATTTCCATTACTTGATCAATACAATAACAATATTTTGTCTATATCGATTTATTTTTATACTCGTCTAATTATAATATTTCTAAAGTCATAGTTATGAAATTAGATATGAAAAATTAATCTAAAAATACATTATATAACAACCGTTTAGTAAATCTGTTATTTTAACCAATTAAATTTATTAATATAAAAAAAAATATATATTTTCAATGTTAACCAAACTGAAATATTTCAATTTATAATATTTGACCGCTGATGAGACGTTTTGTAGTTCATCCGGTAATTACGTGCACTACTTTCTCTTTGAGACTATTTACTTCTATCTAATTAACAAGTAGAAAACCCGTTAAATTAAATAATTTCTCTACTAAAATCATCAATATTATTTTGTTTTTTACAAAATTAATTTATAATTCAAGTTCAGCCGAATGCTAATCGTATTTATTTATGATAATAATATTTATTTAAATATCAAGAATTAATGTATGCATATTAACCAACGATTAATCAGATTTATTTCCAGCATCGACGTTATATGCACTTTAGCTATGTCAACAAACTGTACGTAAATTTATATTTTGGCTTTAGTTGCCTTTTGTTACTGCTGACGTTAGTGTCTAAAAAAAAATGTTGTTCTGTCGACCTTGTCCAAAAAGTAGGTTATTATTAACGCAATTCGAGATTTGCAATAAATAAATTCATGTAAACAAATAATCATTGTATTCAATCTGTATTATCGACACATTTTTGGCATTCCTGCCTTCTACCAGAAGTAATTAAACAATCATTACAAGTACTTTCGACATTTAGATTCTCATTAGCTTTAGTACGGTTTTAATTATCAATACACAAAGCGTTATTTAAATTATTTTTAATTGGTTACCAAGGTAATGATACAGTGGAACCTCGCATAACGAGCAAAATTAATTGTAAGAAAAAATTGTGACTCGCTTAGAAGATGATTGTACTTTGAAAATATAATTTGTGTTTGTGTTTGTAAATGCAATATATAAACACACTATGTACGCTTTTTTATATAAACTAATATTAAATTTATAAAGAGATCTCCGCCAAGTTCTCGACTTGATACAAGTAATATAAACAAGTACACCGTGTGTGAATTGGAAAACAGTTCCTAATATTAGTGGTCATCACAAAATTTCTAATCTTGTGTTTAGACATGTTATTTGTGTTTTTTTTGTGTGCAAAATGTAATAATACTTGCATGTCTTCGAATAAAAAGCTAAAGTATAAAAATAACCTTAGATATGAAAATCATTAAAAATCGAGACCAAGTTATACTTTTTTCTTCCGACAAGGAACGCATTATCGTAATTTACATTAATTTATATGGGAAAACGAGTATTTTAGAACGGATTATATTCGTCCAGTGACAAACTTATCTGCCAATAAATAAGTATATATTTGGGACGCCGGTATTTTTAACAATAATAAAGACATTCATTTTCTGTTAAGAATACATACGCGCAATAACGTATGCGAAACGAGGTCAAGAGCACATGTTAAACTTTAAACATCTAATTTTAAATTAGTTAAGTTAATGTGACGTTTCTTTCAGAAATAGTAACATCGGAAATATTTTAATTAGTTTTCAATTGACATTTTATTTATTTATACTTATAATGGTTTTTAAATGAATTGGAACATGCGCGTTTCTATTCTAAGCAACCTACTTTTTAAATTAAATTTGGTTTCATTGATAATTTAAAGAAAATGCAAACTCATCATTAAAATAATGACGTTTTCAAAGAATTCAATAATTTCGAGTGATGGTAACTAAATGTGCTAGGTTTCCCTCCTAACTGATAGTTGAATACGAAGTCTTTCGTATTTTGTATAAACTGAAACGATTTAAATACAGCTACAGCAAATCATCGCAGTTCCAACAAGTGTATAATTTTTGTACTATCATCAGTTGAAAAAATATTTTACTGCAATAAATTATATTTTGTACTGTCTATCAATATTACCAACTCTGGAATGTCATATTTTCCTGAATTCTTCGAAATTCCTCCAACGTATCTGAGTAAAACTCTGTAGAAAATAATGACAGTTTTTTTTATCTACGTTTAATAAAACTCCAGTGCAGAAACAAAGTATTTTATTCATATAAAAAAAGTAACTCCAGTATACAAAAAAAAATGTTAACAAGGTTAAATAAATGGGTTTTAATTAATACACGAAATGAGACAAAGTAAACGATTTCATTTTTTTTTGTTGTTATAAGCGAGGCGTGGCAATCTCAAACTGGGTAGAGTTTGGCGAGATTGATAACGCCCAGCGCGGATAAACTAAAAACAATGTTGTAGAACGAGCTATGATAATACTACGATATTAATTAGTCAAGGTGCAAATGCTCTGTGACTAATTTGAAATTAGTGTCGGGAAGAGCGGAGCTTGCTAAAATCCTAAAATAATTTATGAATCAATAAAGCATTTCCACTCAGTTAATATTATTAATAAAAATATCTTCCATTGAAAGTGTTTTCGCCCAATTTCTCTCTAAACATAATTAAAGCATGTAACTGTTTGTATTTTATTTTTTTGTAAATATGGTTCAATTTGTGAAATATGTCAATGAAAGAACTACACAAGACAAAAAGAAAACATGTTTTTTGTTTTAATAATCATTATCGTATTTGTACAAAAGTTCCAAACTTTCTCAACATAGTATAAGTTTTTTTTTTGTTTTGTTATCAATACCCAAAATTGTAACATTATAAACTTCAGCTATATGTACAGCAGACTAAAAACACTTTTGAAAAGCAAGCTTAATTATTATTTTTTTTTTAAAAAAAAGGACAGAGGGTACCAAAAAAAAGTTGTTTATAATATTTCCTTTTTCAAATAAAAATTGACCACTGCATTAAACCGCATCATCAAATTAGTAATCAATAGTACATATTTATATATTTATTTATATATATATATATCTCTTTGAAATCTTTGTATCTAGTCATCGTAATTTTGAGAAAGGAGAAAGTTAGCTGCCAAATTTTCGTTCTTTTCACACGCAAAATAAGCTTGAACAACTAGGTGTTCAGGGAATCCAAGCGCTTTCAGTCGTTCAATAGCATCCTTGTCCTGCGGTGTCACTTGAATCATTCCCTGCTGTAAGCCAGCAGCAGCTTGACCACCTGATTCAATGGAAAACAATTGGTAATTAATTGCATTTTTATCTATTTGCATATAATGATGTTACCTGTAGCTGGAGCTGTTGAAACGGGTGGAGTGGTGACTGTGGTACCACCGCCACCGCCGCCGCCGCCACCAGCAGCTGGAGTAGGTTCATTGAGCATTCTTACAAAAGATTCCTGATTCTGGGAAATTAGCTGGAGAAGAGCAGGATTCGTTTGACCGATCTGATGCAAGACGGCGTTCAAAAGTTGCGGATTCTGCTGGATGACGTGACGCATCTGTTGAAACTGTGGTTGACTGCGCAAGAAAGCCAAGGGGTCCTCCGCATCCGACTGTTGCTCGTCAATTTGCGACATGTCTGCAGTTTCGTTGACGACCTCCTGCTCATCCATAACGGGGATACCGGTGATCAGATATTCCACAGCCCTATCGGGATTGTTGAAGCTGGCCCTAAGCGCTTGCTCGACTTGAGGTCTGTCATAGCCCATGTCCATGATGTTGCGCACCATAGTATCATATTGTTCTCCCATGAGCAAAGTAGACTCAGCATTACCACCACTAAGGGCGGCAACAGCAGGGGCGATTGTTTCTACAGTGCTGCTTTCAGTAACTGGTGTTACTGGCGCCACTGTTGGGTATGCTGGAACTTCTGGTGCAACAACTGGTGTTGAGGGGGCTTGTGCTGCATCTCCACTATCTGACTTCTCGGGTTGCTTAGGCTTTGTAACCATAACAACAATAAACTTTTTCTCATCAATATTGTATTCTGCGATAGCATTTTCATCTGTCAAGATTTTTCCTGAAAAGAAATAAAAAAAATTAAATATTAAATGATTCTGCTTGAATTGTTACACCTCCTCTTACCTGCATAAATAAGCCTCTGATTATCTGCTGGATAATCCTTCCCTTTTTCAGTTTCAATCTGTTGTTTCAGATGCTTCACCTGTTTATATTTTGCAAATGATTCAGCAATAAAAAAAAGAAGAACAGAGCTTAGGTTAACAAAGAAACGTCAAAGGAAAAAAGAACAATCTTCAATTACCGTTTTCGTGGGATCAATGTCGACCTGGAAAGTCTGTTGTTGCAGGTTTTTCAGTGTGATCTTCATTTTTTTTATTTTGGTTCTCTCACTCTCTCACTAGGAAAACGGAATTGTGAAATGCGCCGGCTAAGAGGAACGGTATATGTATATATGATTTGTTATATATGTATATGTGTAGTATATCGGTTTTTCGTCGGATAGTTGCGGAAAACGTGTGTATTGAATGTTTATGTGGGATCGAATCGGTGTTCCCGTACCGGTCTCTATTATTTCGCACTACTTAAACTCCTCTACTTACAGGGAACAAATCCCAAGATTCTTATGAAACGTTCGCTCACTTACGTTCTATATTTATATCCGTTTTCCAAATGTACTCTTGGCTAAATTAATCGTACCGATGATAATGCACAACTGGATGATTTGGCGGCCATCTTATTTTCCAAATCTATCAGAACCAATGCTGCCAACATCATCTGGACATATCCAATTGAAAATTGTTAATATGAAAATCCTAGACAATCGTCGTGTGTGAATCATTGAAAAATTCAAATGTCTGCTTTGAGTTTACTCCTTTGTAAACTAATAGAGCTCATATTCAGAGAAGACTGTGAATGTTATATTTTTAATTTGCGAAGGGAATCGAAAGATCAAGATTGTTTGTTTCTGGTCATTGTCATCAGATGCCACTGTATCTAATAGTAGCAACAATACCGCTAGTGCTGGCTAGTGCAACAACAGATAACCGTTGCCTTAACAATTCATCATTTTTTAACTAAGTTTTAACAGTGTATCAACGGTTATAAACTATTCTACAAGTATTTGCTGGTAGCCTATACTATCGTAATCGGCGAAGGCGTATAGGGTTGTATTTTTTTGTATAGTGGTATTGTTGTGACGATTGGATCCGCCATATTCAGCCATATTGCTTGGAGCGTTTGAGGGTCGATTGCGTCCAATGTATATTTTGTAAAAGGAAATATATATATTTATATACATATATTTTTTGATAAGTTTTTAGTTAGCTGTTTGCGTGAGTTCGGGTTGCTTATAGTGTGAAACGTTTAGTTGTGCGTGTAAAATGTCGGTGGAATATTTGCAAGTCGCAGAGGACGAGGGTGAAGAACCCATAGAACTGCCCAGCGAGGATGATGGCACTCTGTTGCTCAGCACGTTATCGGCCCAGTTTCCCGGTTCAAGTGGGTTGAAATATCGAAATCCCGATAGTAGAGCTATGCGAGGCGTTCGCCTCAGCGAAGGGAGACTGCATCCACCGCCAGAGATCGGCTGGGGTTCACAAATATTTTATTGCGTCTTCCCTAAAGGTACGTCAATCCAAGCCGACACTATGCTGCTTGGTTTCAAGTTCAAATCAATCATTATATATATTTGATTATTTATATAATAACATGAAAATAATTTGATGTGATTTTATATGATTTTGTTGCTGTAATTTTTTATGTACTTTACAGAGAATAAAAGGAAAAGTGATGACAATTTAGAGAATTCTACTGCAAAGACAAAACGAATCGAAACAAAGCTTCGGTGCACAGATTTGATTGTGCTGGGACTACCATGGAAAACGACTGAGCAGAATCTACGTGAATATTTCGAGACTTTTGGGGAGGTTCTTATGGCTCAGGTGAAAAAGGACGCCAAGTCTGGACAGTCTAAAGGTTTCGGATTCATTCGATTTGCATCATATGAATCTCAGATGCGCGTGTTAGCGCAAAGACATATGATTGATGGACGATGGTGCGACGTGAAAGTACCAAACTCGAAGGTAATAATCCGCAAACAATGGTCCAGCCAATATTTAATGAGATTTTGTTGTCTTGCTGTTTAGGAGGGCTTGATCCAGCAAGTGCCATGTAAAGTGTTCATCGGAAGGTGCACAGAGGACTTAACCGCCGACGATTTGCGCGAATATTTTGGAAAGTTCGGTGAAGTTACGGACGTTTTTATACCAAAACCGTTTAGGGCTTTCAGTTTTGTCACGTTTTTGGATCCCGAGGTCGCTCAAAGTCTGTGCGGGGAAGATCACATCATTAAAGGTAGTTTGCACTTATGATAATGATAATGTCTGGACTTTATTGACCTCTATTATCTATATGTGTTTTAGGAGTATCGGTGCACGTATCCAATGCAGCTCCTAAATCCGAGACCAGAGGAGGAGGAGGTGGCGGCGGAGGCGGTGGTGGAGGCGGCGGCGGTGGTTACGGCAGCGGTCCACGACCTGGTAACCATAGTGGCGGTAACCGCGGACCAGGCGGACCCGATGGTCCAGGCATGTACCAGCAACGGTATAACCCCGGTCCAAACCAACCGAATTGGAATAGTCAAGGACACAGGGGCAACATAGACATGCCTAACTTGCAAGCCTTAGGTGAGTTTGACGAATAAGTTCTAGTTTATATGCAAAATCATATTTCCTGATCCTTTCCAGTTAAATTATTAACTCCAAACACATTCCTGAATCTCCCTCCCAATTCCAATAAAAAATATTAATTTCCATTGGTATGTATTAATTTGAATCACACTTATTCTCCATTTCTATCTCAATATCTGTTTACATGTATAAAAGTGTTATATGTATACATATGTATATATATATATATAAACACACATCTATATATACATATGTATTTTTGTTTTATATATGAAAACATTATCAAGTATAAATGTTATTACTATGATTTTGTAAGCATAAAAAAATACAAGAAACAACACATTTTTTGATTTATTTGATTTTAATATTTAACTGCATGTTGCTTTGTAGGTGGTAACAGAAGTAGAAGTATGCGATATCTTTGAAAGCGGAGTGCGAGTTTTTTGTTGGGGCTGAATGAGAGAGACTACACTAAAAGTTACATAAAGAGAGTTGTTGGTGGTGGGTGTGTGGATCATGTTCAATAATACAAAGTACATTATTATTTTTGCTTTTCGAAGACATTGATTATTACTTACTTTTTTCTGTTGTTCATAATGTTTCGTTTATAATTTCTAGAATTACAAATTCATTATTATTAATTTTTTATTTTTTTTTCTTATTTTTGTATGACTTAAACTTATGATTTAACTTTTTGAATGTAATTGAAATGATTTTTTTTTTGTGAGAGAATAAAGAGAAAAATGTGTTTTTAATAATATATAATATGTATATATATATATACAACAATATATGTGTGTGTTTGTATATATATACACATATATATACTGTTTGGGGTTTAAAGCTAAACGTAATTAGTACGAAATCCTTTTGTGCTCAATTGCTGCAATATATGATGATAATGATGATAAAAAATTATTCATTAGTGAAGTAAATAAATATTTTGTAATGTGTGTGTTGAAGTAAAGCTAAATTTTACATTGTAAATGTTTTAACATTAAAGGAATCCATTGAAAACTAAAGCCATTTTTGTAACTAATAATTGTATGACTTTCTAACTATGTTCAAGTTTACCCTAGAGACTTACTGGAGTGTTTATCTTCCTCGCACTAACTGAGCGTTAGTCGTCCGCTTTACATAATAAAATAATTTGAATATCGGTTTGATTCACTTATTATTAACTGTTCGATTGAACGAAGCGATTAAATAAATGCTTTCAAAGAGGCGAGTGAATTGATTTTTAAACAAGTCTGAACTATTTATTTAGGTATAACTGGTCAGGGACAGCAGGGGAATCCGCAACAGAATTGCAATACGCTTGGTTTGGGACTTAATTTGGGCGCGCTGCCGGTGAACCCTGCCATCGTGGCTGCCCTGAACTCGGCAGGTTGGGGACTTATAGGCAATTTACAAAATCAACCAGAACCAAATTTCAATCAGGGATTCAATAATCCGCCAAACACTAGCAGCGGTAAGTGATTTGCACATAGCCTCTTCTTCCCAGTCACATTAACAAACAACGACAACAACAACAGCAAAATTTTTGATTATCTTTTTATTTATTCTTCTCTATTTCATTGACGATGCGCAGGGAATAACGCGAACGGTGGCAACCAGGGTGGCGGAAGCAACCAAGGTTTCCTGAATTGGATGAACCAGGCCCAAGGACAGGAGGGTCAGTGGCCGCGGCCTCCACCCCAACAGCAACAAGATAAAGGTTTCCTCAAGTATGACTAACAAAAACATCTCGTATTATTACTGTTATATCTCTTTCATTCTTTAAAATAATCTTAATTACTAAGGTAGTTAGTTTGCACAAAAAAAGAAACGAAACAAAGAAAAGAGATCGTGAAGAAGAAAAGGGGAAAGAAGAGTGAATGTGTGGCAGCATCTAACTTTACTTACTTGCGTTACACTTTCATTGACCAAAATTATCTGCAAACCGTTGTGTGTCTGTCTGTCTCTGATCGATGGGCCGAATTTCCGCCCGAATTTCCTTTCATTAATATTATTATTATTCACATGTTTTGTTTCCTCCGCGTGGCAAAAAATATACTAAATTATTTTTCGACACATATTTGGAAAGAGAGAGAGAGAATGGAAGTAAGGAGAATGTTCTGAATTGTTTGTTTTCAATGAATTTTTACTACTACTACTACTATTATTATTTTTAACACTATAGAAATTTCGTGAGGGAGTGAACAATAGTTTAGATTCCGTTTGTTTATATGTAATTTTATGAAAGACTCTATCGTTAATCTTAAGCTGTGTAAATGTATCATTTTATGTTTCTTTCTGTGTGTTTGGAAGGAAAGTGCAGTTGTGTTAGAATTTTCTCTCATTCTTTTTTTTTTTTTAGTAATTTTTATTTTGTTGTTTTTTTTTAGGGTTTATGTATTTTATTTTTTTCTTTTGGTTTTTAACTGTATGACGAACGTGTATATTGTATGTTCATGGATTTAGTATAAAGAATGATCTATTTGATTCATAAAGCTAATAATTAGTATCGGTATCGAATTTTATATATATTTTTTTTTAATCAAACAAAAAATCTGCTGTGTGATGGTGCTGATTTCCGTCCATCCAAGAACAGATGATTCAACAGATCATCTATTTTTGGATCGCGGTCTGGTGGTATTCTCTAACACCCTTTCTCACATATCCTTAATCTAAAGTCCTCGAACCCTCCACACACCTATGAATACTCGAATTATGATGTGTTGTTGTTTTAGTAATTTTGAAAAGATTGGTTTATAAGGATAAGTGCAAGTGGAAGATTGACTATACAAGTGGCGTGTTTTTTTAATTTCCTTCCTCTTTGTTATTATTTATTTTTTCCTGTTCTTTATATATGTATATAATCTATATCTATATATATATATACATATATAAGAGGAACGCCAACTATGATGAACATATTTTATTTTCATTTTATGTTTTGATATGTGAAAGAAGAACGAGGTGTTTGTGTTTTTTTATATGAGGATGATGATGGATGCTGATGATGTTGATGAATTCTGCTTGAGGGTTTTTATGTAAGTGTTCTCTACTATTATTATCTTAGGTTTATAATTATAAATGATGGGATGCGAGTTGTACATTTTTTTTTATATATATATACATAATACTTATATACATATATATTATTTAGGTTTGTTGGTTGATTGTCGTTCGAGTAATACATGTTGTGTTTCTCTATCTCTAGGTGTTCCGATGATTTTGGATGAACAGCCTTCGTGCGCCAGTCAGAACTCTATGTTTTATTAACGTTTTGGGTAAGTATGATGCGAATCCCGCCAGTGCCTCCTGGACGAGAGTTGTTTCCATTGTTTCACGTGGAAAGGTGAGTGTCAATAAGAAACGAGCGAGAGTCGATCTTCTAGAAATAAACTTGAATTCGTAGTTAATGTTAACTATTTTCTATAGGTTTACTAGAGGAAGCATAACATACAATGTATAAGAAAATTTTATAACACTGACTTCAATATATACATATATATTTAGAAAGAGACAGAGAGAGAGAGAGAAAAATATATATTTTTTAAATATTCAATAAAAGTGCTTTAAAACTTGAAATTTGTTTCTTATATGAATGCCCGCTTGGCGAAAGTTGGTAGAACGAAGGCGCTCTTGTGCACGTCCGCATTGTAGTATTTCAAGTCCAACGATTCGACGTCGAAAAGTTGCTTGGGATCTTGCAGATCGTTGCTCACGTTGTCGGTGGCGATGATGAAGCCTATTTGACCGGTCGGATAGGTAGGTACGCTGGCGTAGGCGTAGCGCACGTTCGCGAAATGCTTCCTGCAGCTGAGAGTGGTGCTCCTCACGTGTCTCAGGTTGTTCCAGATGGTTCCCGCCTGCGAGCAGATGATGCCGTTCGGCTTCAGAGCGCGCTTCAGCAAGGCGAAGTAGCTCTCGGTGAACAGGTTGACGGCCGGTCCGATCGGATCGCTGGAGTCGGTGATGATCACGTCGTAGCTGTTGGTGTGGTTCTGCATAAATTCGAAGCCGTCGCAGACGTGCAGATCGAGTTTGGGTGAGTCGAATCCCACCGCCATGAAGGGCAGGTACTTCTTGCTAGCCTCGATCACGCTGCCATCGATTTCCACCTGCGTGATATGCTTCACGAGCGGATGTTTGGCTACCTCGCGCGCTACTCCACCGTCACCGCCTCCCACTATAAGCACGTCCATCGGACACGAATGGGCGCACAGCGGGAAGAAGGTGATGGCCTCTTGGTAAGAAAACTCATCGTACTCGGTGCACTGTATTATTCCATCCAGCACCAATGTTCTTCCATGCGATTTCCTAATCGAAACCAAATAAACACAATTAGAAACTAAAGCTCGAGAATTTATTCTGAAAAATTATTTCCATAATTACCTCCATAATATGTAAAAAAAACTGAACAGGTATTATAGCAAAGAAGTCCGCAAAAGAAAATAAACCATTTGATAAAATTGTTATATAAGTTTCGGAGTCTTGGATATTAAAAGGATGATTGTAAACAAGTTTGCTCTATTCGTAGTATTATTATTATTGAGTTCCAATATATAGAAGCAAAAACTTTGTGCTTTATTATAGAAAAGTTTTTGTAATAAAATACTTTTGTATTCTGGAATGTCTCAATTCTAATATATGTGAATAGTTGCGTAATCAAATAGTAATTATAAACCGATTTGTGCATACGTTCGAATTTGAATAAATGTTGGTAATGAAACAAGCATTAAATAGCAATTAGCAAAGGACGATGTGAGAAATTACATAGATTACTATTATAAATATTGTATATGATTGTAATAAATTTGATTGGATTGACTTAATGCGATAGATTCGTAAAAAAAAATACTGCAAAGTTTGAAAAATAAATAAATAAAAACATACCCCGATTTTTTAAATTTTAGTAAAAAATAAGTTGAGAATAAAAAAAAGTACTTTTTTTCAAGGGTAATGATAATATGTTTTGTAATCAGAGAAGTAAGAACAATTTATTAAATATTGACCAATTCATGTTGGCTCATTTCTATATTTTGATTATTGCTCGTAAATTTTTAATCAAAAATGTGTCCTTTAGTCTGTCAAGGGTTATCGCACATGAACTTGAAACTTTTATGAAATAACGTCGTCTTGCACAATTGTCCATTGAAAAAAATTATACAATAATTTCCACAACTTCGCAGTGAACGTATATATTTTATATGCAAAAAAAAGACTCGATTTCTAATAAACCGCAGTCGATATTTGCGATGAATTTGCAATGGATATCAACTGCAGAAATATAATTCGAGCAAACAAACAACAACAACACAATGAGTCGACTGAAAAAAAAAACAACAAGATGCACTTAAATTCTAAATATAAAGTTGTTTATTAAAGTAAAGCACACATATTTGCTTTCGGTGCATCGTCAGATTGCTGCGATGCGAATAATCTTTGTTGACGCACCACCACCACCATATGAGTGAGTGAGACGTGTCTGTTGCGCCAACTTACGTGTTCAAGATCAGGATGTCTTGGTACTCGGACTTCTCGTGGTAAAGTACTTTTTGCACTTGCAGTGACATCGCCTGGCCGGGCCACAGCTGGCTCCTCTCGCTGAACCATCCATTCTCGATTTGATCCATGCTGGAAGAACGAAGGAGAAGAAGAAAGTTGCGTTTTCTTCAAGACTCGTAGCTACACTGAACGCAGCTGAACACTACACACTGGTCTGCTCGCTGATAAGAGAGAACTACACGTTTCTTACAATTTTCTATACACATTTTTTTTTTGATCAGTGCGTAGTGAACTATCAACGTCGCTTTAAAGTTAATCAAGGATTCCATCGCCGTGAAGAAGACGATAAACTTTTAACTTCTTAATAATAATAATAAATAAACAAATTTAATACGTATATATTTTATTATTTGATAGTTGCCGGTGATAACGTACAATAATATATAAAAATGAACAACAAATCTCACACGAAATATGCCTTTATTTAATTTTCTTTATTAAAAAAAACAGAAATACTTTGTTAAATGCAATCAAATTGCCTCTTATTTTTGATTATTTCGTTTAATAAACTTTAAAAGCAAGCCAATTTATAATTAATGTAATTCTCTTTAAACGTTAAACCTACATTGCCACAAAACAGTAACGAACATCTTGAATGAAAGACGTCCTTTCTCGTCTCTTTACAAAATATATATTACATATTTTATAAATATATATATAAAAAAAAACTCACTGGAAAAGATACAAAAAAAAGCTAAAGTGTGTGTTTTTTGGTACTGATCACAATCAACGAAACATTTGTTTTTTTTTTTGGTGCACATGAAACATATTTCCATTGATTGGAAAGTTAATGAAGAAATATTATATATTTAAATGAAAAAGTAATGTTTTTTTGTTGTTGTTAATTCCGTCTACAAGCCTACAATGGGTACTATTGTGAGGCGCCGCCGTCGCTGCAATTCGAACTGCTCGACCTGATGTCGCCCTCCATTTGGCCCGAATTCAGAGCCTTGTACGCTATTTTGATGATCAGGTACGTCCAGAACACGTGCAGAACTAGCAGCAGGACCAGAAGACCGTTGAAGATGTAGTACGCAGGGAACATTGGCACCAATGTCGGAGCTTCTATCGATGTACTGTACGAAGAAAAAAAAATATGATTAGATTATTTATTGAGTTCTGTTCAGTGAAACTTACTTTTTAATAATCCACAAGGGGTAAAAACCTAGACGCGTGACAATCCAGAGAACAGTGAAAATGGCGAAAATGATGTCGCATACTTTCTGGTAGCCAGCGTATTTAGCCATCTTAGCAGCCTGAAGGAAAGAAAATATGATGTAAAGCAAAGTTTAAAATTGGAATGAATGAAAATTGACGTACTTCAAGGAAGATATCAGCGCAATCGTGGACGAGAAGGACCAGCGTTCCGATTCTGGACAAGTTACAAATCCAGGACAGACACATCAACACAATTGTTGCAATATGGTGCACGAACATTTGCCAAAAGTCTTTACGTTTAACATCGAAGAACTGACTAGCGCACAGAGACCAATAGAATGCCATCGAGAACATGTAGTACCACCAGACATCGTCCGAGACACTTTGGTGCGGATAGTTAATCCTGAAACAGACGATCACAGAGTAAACCAAATGTTTATGCAGAAGGTAAACCGTCTATATATCTAAAGAAATATATATTTACTATTAATGGATAAATGGCGATACATAATTTTAAATGTTAGTATTGTTAGAGGGTTTTTGATAGTAAACGAAGGAAGATGCGCGTTTCGTCATTTTCTTCTCGTGTTTCTTCACTTTAGCATCCTCCTTTGTGATGTCCGTCGTGCTGGAACCTGCTGTTTTCACCATCATCGACTTGGTTCTCCGAAAAGTCGTATCCTCCTTTTGGGCGCGCGAAGTTCTCCTCTCACCAAAGACGATCGCATCGAATTTGTTCGCGGGCTCCAATTTGAGATCGCGCATCGAACCGCAGCAATTCTCATACAATACATTAATATCACTGGCAGAGTTTGACGTTTTTCCTTCGCCTTTCTTTTTCATCTTCCTCAGCGTGTTGTTGTTGATGCTCTTGCTGCGCCTCAGGTGACCCGACTCGGTTAAATCGTCCTCCTTCACGGTCACCTTAGGCTTCCTGTGCCTTTCTATAAACGTCTTGGCGCGCTTCAGCATGTTGTTGTGAACCTTTGCTTAGTAATCACAGGGCGAGGCTCTATCGCACACGGTCTTGCGAGATAATGAACCTATCAAGTGAATTTTCGACATTCAATTTAGATTCGTGATAAAGTTCATTTGATAACCCATTTCCGATACACCTCACACGATTCGCTGAAATTTCATTTACAGTCCCAAGGAATATTTACATACTTATCACTTATAGCATAAATAAATTTCGGTTCAATTATAATTTTCATTTAAAAACGATGGCAGAATTAATATTATTACAGCATGGTCGGAATTTTACCGCATTTACACAACGCGGCTTTATCTTGGTCAAACAGAGAGGTAAAGTAAATAGACAATTTCTCTTACCAGCATTCATTGATGTCCCACAGCCAAGGTTTTTCCCAAAGTATAACACAGCCATAAGTGAAGGAGAACATGTAATACAGGCACCTCCAGGAGTTTTCACAAAATTTCACTAAGGTGGACGGTTTATCTTGTATCCTACGCAAACGGAACCACCATTCAACTTGCCTTTCATTCATGTCTAATTGCTTTGCTAAACCTTGTATCTTAAAACATCAACCATTAGACATTTGCATTGCGAAGAAGTTGCTGGAAAAACTTACTTGCTTGTACTTTAAATGTTTGTGACTTGTGTAGGCCTTCTCCAAGACCGGGTTTGTTGGGGCCTTCTTTGGTCTGTTGCATTTTATCCCCAGAGAAACACCAACAGGTGCGAACCAATACCTGCATAAATCAAATCAATTGTTAGATTGCAATCTCTTAATGGCGTGAGATAATGAAATTCCACATTACTGATAAATATAATAACCTTCAATGCTTACTTTTCAAAAATATATCTTATAACTAAGATAACTAGTGCAAGTGCCAGCGGGAAGATTAAGTGTCTGTAGTCTGCATGGTGGACCTCTGTGCTGGAACCCGGTGCAATGTCAGCCCAGGTGACATTGGGGGGAAGCCAGATATCCTCATTCCAGAACTTCGTGCAAAATTCCTGCCACAGGTATATGACCATCGTCTATGATGATTGCAGCTCACTGCAACTGTTTATTCGATGAAAATGCACTGGTGTCCCTTCGGGTGTGTGAATCATGTGATTTATACACTTAAGGTATTGAGATGCAACCAAATTTAATTGATAAACTTGTGTCTGTGTGTACAGTTATGGAGCAATGGAGAGACAGAGAGAGATAGCGAGAGAAAAAAAAAACTGATGTTTATCACTGAAAGTTCTGGTGCGGAAGGCGGTTCTGTCGAGTCTAGTTGAACCAGCGGAGATGCGAATTGGATTCTGCTGTTCCTCGAAACAGTATTTTTTCTATCAAAAAACTAATTAATGACACCACCCCAAAAAAAAAACTGTGCTCCTAATTGGCGATCACGTCATTTTTTTTTTCTCTCTACCAAAATCAAGTAGTGACCGCGTACTACAATCGTCGGTTTCGTCGAACGGGACGGGCTGGGACGTGACTCGAATGCGGCTTCCTTTATCGGAACCGCTACAAATACGCACGCGCCCGAACAGCACATCAGTCGTTGATTACAGACTAACCTCCTTGATTATTAGGTGCGAGTAGGTGGATTCGATTGGATAACATAGATGGGAATACCCAAAATCCACATGTTTATCCACATTACTTCATCTAACTTTAACCCTTTCAACCATATTCATACAAATCCAAATGAACAATTAAACAATCTTTATCATTCATTTAGAATAAGAATTACAAATTTTCCCCAAGATTTTTGAATAGCTTCGGTAGATCGGCCACAGATGGTGCGCGCATCTACAGTAAATTGATTCAAATTTTCAAATAGTCTCTTCGCGCAGAAGATTCGATGTCACTTGGGTTCAATACTACATCAATCAATCAATACAACCGTGCGACTCGGCCCGGATCCATACTACTAATAAAAAAAAGAGACTCAACAAATACTAACTAACTAACCTCCTTGATTATTAGGTGCGAGTAGGTGGATTCGATTGGATAACATAGATGGAATGGGAATACCCAAAATCCACATGTTTATCCACATTACTTCATCTAACTTTAACCCTTTCAACCATATTCATACAAATCCAAATGATTATTTTAGCAGCATAAACGATTATGATTGAATTACCGTTAGAATCTAAAAAAAAAAAAACCCATCCGAAATGCAGGTCAAATTGCATTTGTAAATCAGCTAACCTATTTTATACCCATTACCGTTATTTATTACAGGTTTTCGTTAGCTCTTCAACAGATCTAAGCATAAGTTCTATTGAGTTGTTTAAACAATCTTTATCATTCATTTTGAATGAGCATTACAAATTTTCCTAAGATTTTTGAATAGCTTCGGTAGATTGGCCACAGATGGTGCGCGCATCTACAGTAAATTGATTCAAATTTTCAAATCATCAATCAATCAATACAACCGTGCCACCCGGCCCCGATCGATACTACCAATAAAAAAAGACTAAACTGAATGATTTTTGTAGATACAATCCCCTGGCCAACTAGAATATTTTATCGACTCATTTATTATTGTATGTAATACAAAATCCAATAGGAAGGGGTGTTATGTTTAAGCATCAAAAGTGTAAAAAAAACTTATGTATCATAGCAACAGTAGATATAATTATAACTCTTAATAACTAAGTTTAATAACTGTGTGTTAGGAATTAAATTAAGTGTTTATAATTTTATATATTAGATTTATTTTCTTTTAGATTTGCGTCTATCTTTTAGTAAAATGAGTATTTTGTGCTATTACCAAAAAAAAAACTTACTTGCTTCAATAAATGGAACGTGACTTTTGCAAACTGTGAAACATGTATAAGTTGTGTTCAATTTATTATAGAAAATATTTTAAATTATACAAAAGCTGTAAAAATAAACCTGTTATACGTTGTACTTAAAATGTTGTTTATGTATGAAATTAGTTTGTACTGATTCATACTGAAATTGGAAAACATTTTTTTTGTATATCAACATAGATGTATGTCATTTAAACAAAAAAAAAAAAGAAGAGTGTTTTAGAGTTGAGCAATCTAGAACGCTACGTACAGATAGAAATAATCTTATCTCTCCTGTTATGGAAGGTATATGCATTTACGTTGATTTCGTATATGCCCGTACGTTAGTTTGGATAAAAAAATTGTGAAATGCACATTTGCGATGTTCAAGAACTTCAGAATCGGACGGTCCAAATCTTTCATTGTGCGAAAAGCGAACTGCTGCGATGGGCAAAGGAACAGTGCGAGCATGGACAATATCGCCCAAATCCAATTCGACGTTGACAACGTCGATTCGGGAGGGACCATACCTAGAACGAAAGCGTCGACAGCGAAATTCAACGATGTCGTGGAGCAACTGAAGCAGATGAACAAATCCTCGAAGATCCAGAGCGAAGAAAACGTAACGTAGATTTCTGAATCAGTCAAATAGTATCAGTTGTATCAATTATCTTTTAAACCTTTTAGTTGTCTGATGGCTCCAAACAGAATGCAATCCGTAAGGCCGGAAATCGTATGCTCAGACCGAAAACGGTACGTAATATTCGCCCGAACGTAATCGTAAAGAAAATAACCTTTTAGGAAATAAAAGAACGGAAGTTGCTGATGCACACTTCCTTGCTTTCCTGCTGGAAAAGCACTGGTAATTAGATAATTGTCCGCTCTTCAGAATTTATTGTTTTAACACACGCAGAGGGTCAAACGAATTGGCTTTAATGATTACAATTCGCTCGTTAGCGTGTGTGTGTTTAGTTAGTGGGAGTTGCGGAAAGAGTTTTGCGTTTAGTTTGGACTGATAACGGTGCGTGTGTGTGGTGAGAAAGAGAGCTAAATAACATATACAAAAAAAAAATATGTAGAATAATATAATAATAAAAAAAAAGAATATAAGCGGAGTAGAGAGGATAAGGAAAGCGCAACAATAATTCTGGCACATGTGTTAACACGCTCGGTATCGGTTATGTATTAAATTATGCATGATCCACGTTGACCCAGTTAGTGCGCTTCAATGAATTCAATTAGGAAGGTAATAATTATCAAATTACGTACGCAATTTTACTCAGTCTAACACATCCAAGTTTGCAAATATTTGCTCATTGCTTACTAACAGCGGGAGCCATTGTATTATTGCTTTAATGTAGTGATAAGCCTTTAATAATAATATTTATACAGTAAATTTGTATATAAATTCAAACACCACAAAATTATTGTACTAAATTTGGTTTTGGCAACTTCCTCGTTACGTCACATCACCGCCAATGTTTCCACTTTTAATGCTACAAGCTAACTATGTAACTTTATTTTGAATGCTTGGATTTAGTATGCGAAGTTTAACGAAATTGTATCAAAGCAATCCGATGGTATTTGCAAACATGTCAAAAAAAAAACAAAACAATGAATACAAAATATTTGTTTTCTACTGATTTTTTTTATTTTAAATAAATATCTTTGAGTTATTTGTGTAATTAGACATCGTGTGTTAAGTGGATGATAGCCGGAACGAACGTTTTGTCGAGGCAAATCGGAAATATGCCGAATGGCGTTGCACGAATGTCTCGAATTGAAACACATGGACAAAATCAAGGCCACACTGATTTGAATAATTAATTTGTCTGTGGAGATAATTACAAAACAAAAACAAGAGATTACAATATATTAATTACGAAATGACGACACAGCTTTTGTAGGAAGTCAATTTTTAAAACGTTTTTTTAAAACACTAATTATGAGATTTGCTTGCACTTGTTAATTGATTTTCATCGCTTTGTTTATAAAAAAAGAATAAATGGTATTTTCTTTATACAATTAAATATTAATGATAATTATACAAAATTGAAGATTTTGACCAAGACCTAAGAAATTTGTCGCCACTCTTCATAAGAAAATACATAGCCCATTTTGCTCTTTGGTTAAGGTGGCTCTGATTTTATCTATATACAGTGGAAATATGAACCAGTTAAAAATTGTAGTCACGAATAGGATTTTGAAGTTTTGTACTTAGACTTAGATAATATTGAATATTTTTATGGAATTTTCTTATACTTTGGAACCTCGCTTAACGAGTTTAATCCGGTTAATTTCCGGATTTTTACTCGTATTTATAGCATAATATGTGTTAACAAGTTTTAAAAATAATGTAGGGGTGCGCAATTCGGGACTTCTCTTCTCATCGTCACTCGTTATGCGAAATGTTGCTCTTTAAGCAAGTCATTTTCCTTACAATTAATTTTGTTCGTTAAGCGAGGTTCCACTGTAATTGAATACCGAAACAGTTAAGTTGATCACAATATTTGTGGTTTTTCTTGAATAAAAAAAGACATATTTTAAATAAACAATGTATATTTTTATGTGTCTTTGTTATTGCGGTTTAATTTATCACTGTATATTTTTATTAATTTTTTTTTAAAGGAAATGATAAATTTTATTTAATTTAGAAACTTTCCTTTTGTTTATAACAAATTCATTTCTTTCTTTTGACTCAAAACAATTGAAGATTCTCATATTAGTCATACTGAAAAACCTATGACTTCTAGGATTTTTCAAACGTTTTTCTGTTTAATGACAATTTCGTTTTAGCAGATTGTTAAGAGATTTTTTCTGTTTTTCATATAATCATTTTATTATGTTTTTAAAAGTTTAATTTACTTTAATTTAATTAAATTTAGGATTTATTACTGCTTTTGATTGTATTCAATTATTATCCAAGATTGTGTTGCAAATATTTCTTCTTACTGATAGAAAATATTATAATTTTCTTAGAAATTTCGTTGCTCAATTTTAACATTATTATTTAAATAGAATTTCTGTTTCGTTTTATCAGTTTCTTAGAAAACTGTCATTTATTTGTTCATACAACAATTATTAAATTTTCTAATTATTCAAAGGAAACGATAAATTAGTTTGTATTTCATTCCGAAACTTTGTTTGATTTGATAATTTTAAATTAATTTATGTTTTTTCTGAAACAGTAAAAAATAACCTACATTTGCATTTTTCGTGCTGAAAAATAGAAAATTTTGACATATTTGTTTTAATGGAAAGTTCAGATTATTATATCTTTGTTCAAACTATAATAATTACGCAAAGATTTATAATATAAGAATTAATAACTATTATTTAATACAATTAAGTTGCAAATAATTAAAAATAGAATGCCGTGATAGAAAATGACAGTGTGATTGTGACATTAAAATGACATTGGAATTATTTAAAAAAAAAAAATTCTAATTGCTTTCTGTATAAGCAATTAGTATATTTGCTTCGAAGCAGTTTACTTACTGAGCGTTATCTTCGTCGCTAGGAATAATCAATCGTGTTATGGAGTTTCCTGGAACTAATGTGCATTGATAATATGGAAATAATGAACACTTTGATTCATTGCAGAGGAGTTCTTGTTTTTTTTTTATAAATGCGTTAAACCAGTAGTATTTAAACTTTCGATATTCGAATACAGTGGAATCTCACTTAACGAGTTTAATCCGTTTCTAAATTTCCGGATTTTTACTCGTATAGTGAAATACATATTCAAAAATACACATAATATGTGTACACAAGTTTTAAAAATGATGTAGAAGACGCGCAATCCGGGATTTCTCTTCTCATCGTCACTCGTTTTGCGAAACGTCGCTCGTTAAGCGAGTCATTTTTCTTACAACTTGTAAACTTCGTTTTCATAGGTAAAAAATACGGGTCTATATCGCAAGCCGACAAATCTCGACGTTCGAAATCCCGACTGTATCGAAATCCCGACCTTTGAAATCCCGACTATATCAAAATGTCGACAATCATAATCCCGACTGTATCAGAATCTCGACAACCATAATCCCGACTATACCAAAATCCCGACTATATCGACTATTTAAAAGTCACTACGCTCCGGAATAATTTAAAAATGTTATTGTAGATATTTTCGATATAATCGGGATTTTGATACAGTCGGGATTATGGTTGTCGAGATTTTGATATAGTCGGGATTATGGTTGTCGGGATTTCGATACAGTCGGGATTTTGATATAATATCCCAAAATCCCGACTGTATCGATACAGTCGGCATTTCAAACGTCGAGATTTCAATAGACGGTCTTTCGGTTGTCGGGCTTGCCATAGTATTTTTTCGGTTGCAAACATACTATGGCAAGAATAAAAGAATTAAAGAAAATGAAAAGTTTTATTAAATAAACAGTTAACTTACATACAAAAAAATATTTTTTTTTTAAATATAAATCTAAACTTTATTCATTTAACAATTGACTATATAGAGTTATTGCTTTTAACACAGATTACATAAAAATATCACTTCTTCTTAAATCAGAATCATTATCACAAAAAAAACGTTTTCAATCTTCAGTTGTTAACATTTTTTTGACAAAAACTTCTTCAATTCCGTCTTCAATTTCTAATTCTTTCACTAAAAAAAACAACATCTTTTGCATTCAATAAATTTCTATTGAAACATTCAGTTTCTTGGATGTTATTTTTGTCTTCTAGTATATTTTTGGATCAAATTTTGTGAGATGTTCAATGCCGACTTTGTTATATCGAAGCTTCGTTATCAGAGCATTTCCTCTTTGACCGAACTATGATTGTATTTATATTGTGGGTAGACTGCATTCTATGATTGATAGTTGATTTTTTACATTCATAAAAATTATAATTACGTATAAAAATAAATTTTGCTATTTTAATCTGTCATTTCGTACATTTCATCTTCTTGATTATTATAATCATTAATTTAAGTATTGTTTTTTTTATTACTATATATCTCCTTGTAACAAGTTAGAGCTTTTATAATTTTGTTCGTAAGTCCGGGAGTTCGTAAGTCGGAGGAAAACCTGTATATAGAATGAAATGTAATAAGAAAATTTCTTATTTTTGTCAGTACGCTTATTATAAAATTCGAGTCTAAATTCCATTGCTTATTTATATCATTTTTTTTAATATAGAAGCAGACATACATCAAGCGAAACATCATCCTGTTATTTTCATGACCCATATCTACATGTGCTCTTATAATCTATTTTGAATATTGTAAAAAAGGAATGATGTAACAGTTTCTGCTTACGATTCGAGCACTCTAAATTCAACATTGAAAAAAAAAACAAAAACAAATAGCGGTACAAGTCATGCAGATTATACGCAAGTTTACAACAAACAAATAAGGAGACATTACGATAAAAAATACATATAGAGCAGCGTTTCTCAACCTATCTGTTTGTCACTAGGCGATTCAAGTACTCATATCTTAAAATTAAAAAAAAAACTAACAGCTTTGACACAAGATGTCATTTTGCGATTCATTAACAAAAAGCTACCCAAGATTGTGTATGTTCATATCAAAACTTGAGGATTCATAAATGGATTGGTTAATTTCAATCTGAAGGCAATCATTCAGAATATTTCGCATTGCTATTACCTTTTTAGCGTGTTCCCCTATTTCGTAATAATCGATCAACATTCATACGGGATATACGTTTTAGTTTTGCAAGTTGCATACTAATTGAAAAAAATAATTGAATTCGTTTGATTCAACATTTGCAATGTTACTTGATTCAAAATAATATTACAGAAAACAAAAGCTGTATTTGAAAAACCTGAATCTTTTAAGACTGAAAATATTAATATTAAATATATTTCTTATAATACGATTGAAACCACATGAATTGAGACTGTACAAATTCCATAGAAGCAAATAATTTTTTTTTTTTGAAATGTGTCATTTCATGACAGTGAGGATCGATAGTGAAAATAATTATTTACTATCAAATGATTCACTGAAATGAAGCAAAACAATAATAAAGACTGATTTCATTTTCATTGTGATTTAGAGTGAATGGAATTCAGCGAGCGAGAAATTGTACTAATTATTTTGATTAAGCGTTCGTGCTAATGAAAATAGAATATTTTAATATATCGATTGCTTTAAGCAAAAGTTCATTCTGCTCTTGTATACTTAAAAGAACATACAAACTGTGTTGTTAACAATTAATTGTCGCATTCTTTAATCAAAGATTTTTGTGTGTTGTCGTTGTAAAAGCATCGAGTTTTATTTCATTTTTAGTTTAGTATAAAGTGACCCTAATGTCAGTCGACAGTGTTGTTTGCATTGTGTTAATCGATTTTCTCAAAATGCAGCATGTAAGTTTTTTCTCTTTGTAAATGTGTTTTCTTTATGTAGAAAAATAATACATATTTGTTAAGTAAAGTGTTGAATTTTTCTTGATTTCTTTTGGTTTTAATACTGAGTAAAATTTATAATGTTGATATTTTTAACGAATTTAAAGCAAAACTTTGACATATAAAACATATTTATTTTGTTTAATTTGCAACTTGTCTATTAGAGCAGCGTTTCTCAACATATGGGTCATGATCTAAATTTGTGTCGCGTTAATTTCTGATTGGTCGCAAAATGACAGCTGTCACCTTGTGTCCAAGCGAGGAATTGGTGAAATACTCTTAGCAATTGAATTGCAGAACAACTGCAAACAAATATGTTGCGTTATGAAATGTCAGCTGTCATCTTGTGTCAAAGTGATATACAGGTCATTGGGTCGCAGTGTGTTTATAGTTACACATGTTGGGACGCGCAAAAAGGCTGAGAAACGCTGTATTAGAGTACCTTTTTTTATTTGTACGTAGTAAAGATGTACAAGCTGTCAATTATTAAATTTGATAGATATAAATGTTAACTTTTGAATGCAAAAAGTGTAAAGTTTTTTGTGACTTAAGTAGAGTAATTATCTTATGTTTATTTAATTGAATTAATTTTTTCTCACAAAATTTTGGGGAACATTTTATAGTTTAGTGTATCTTATCAATGCGAATTTCTTGTGATGGTAATGTGTTAATGTGTTAATCTGTAAGTTCTGTATTATCTGGAGTTACGTGATATTGTGCTTGTCGCAAATGGCAAAAACGATTTGCTTCTTGGTACAATATTTATTTCGGATAGTGGAACGAAATGCTTTTCGTAAACCGATTAAATACCGGAGTCCATTTAAGGAGCCACAAGCGTGCGTACTTAAGGCTGCTGGTGTTTGTGTCAATTAACCACAATTAGCCGGGAACTTAAATGGAATGACTAATATAAACATCGGTATTGTTCCCCGATGTGCCCGCAGTTCATGTCAAGTCATGAGGAGAGCAAATATACATAATAAAACTACAGTCATCTTATCATTTGAGGAGCGCACAGAGACCAGTGCAGACCAGGCGGCCGTGGCAGCGCGGAGACCCCGATAATTGATAAGACGCGAAATGTGAAATGTGCATTAACATCAAGTGAGTCGAGGAAAAAAAAAGAAGAGAAGAGAGAAAAACAACGTCGGTCTTCATAGAGAGAGAGAGAGTGAGAGAGAGAAATCAACGAAGCCAGGAAGTAGTGGTCTGTTATCGTCGTCGTCCTCGTCGTAGTCGTCGAATAAAAACATATTATATAAAATATAAGCATTAGGATTCAGTGAATGAAATTATAATTTCGCCTAGCCATGATCGTGTCGAGCGTTTACCATTGGTTGGATCAAATTAGATTTTCGATTGAATCGTATGAACAGGTTGTGAACGTGGATGAGGTACTGCCAAGGCGGTGCAACTACAAAGTGATAAACCATCCAAGTAGGCGCGAAGGTAAGTGATAGTGGGACACCTTTGTGCGCGTACTTTGTTTTTTTTTTATTTCCTTTTCCATTTACGGCGTCGACGTCTGATTCGATTAGATTAGTAACTCGATTTCCACTTGAAATTTGTCAGTTTGAGCGCTCCCTCGATGGACTGAAAACAAGTATTAGCGTCAATCCCTTTTTGTTTACATAAATTCAAAAAATCAAATTTCAAATGATCAACACACCTACCAGAAGTTATCACTGTAAGTTTGTCAAGTTCGGAGATGATAAAGCACAGTAAAAATATTAACATTAAATTCGTTTTAAACGCGGTTTTTGCTGTTGTTGTTGCCCTATCTAAATTATTTCTAGAGATCAGTCGAGTTTTGCGATTCGATAAACTCGACTCGCGCTTGTTAAATATCAGGAAAACTAGTTGAGGCGAAGCAAAATAAAAGGTAACAAATTCGCATTCATTCAAATATAGAAGAAATAGCAACCTTCGTCAAATACCAACTTTCTACTTGCCTTTAATATTCAGTCGGCCAATATCGAGTGTAGCTTGTGCAGTTTCCGCGGTACCACAAACAAAATATCACTTGCTTTCGTTTCGCTCGGTGCGAATGCATTCTGTGTGTCTCCGAATAGTTGTTCAGTTGAAGCGTGTGGTTAATTGATTTATTTTTTTTCTTTCGATTTTAGAATTGTATTCCGCGAACAGTTTGCGGTGTAAATCGTTGGAGGTGCAACCAGTCAGCGATATAAATCGATTGATCGAAGAGACGAACGCGGAATGCGTCAACATTGAAGAAAAGGAGGAGAAGGAGGAAGAAGTTGTTGTTGTTGTTTTGGAAGATGAGAAGAAGTCTCCAAGAGTATTAGAGAGGGCGAACACCGTGCCGACGTTCTATCTGAGCAAGAATGATATGATCCAAAGAAGCGGCGGTTCCCTGCGTGATTTGGACGAAAGGAATTCAACGTTGAATATTCATAGGAGCGAGGATATGATTACAATGGGTAGCACCGCATACGAAGATAGTGTCATCGGAGACTCGGTGGAAGAAGAAGGCAAGGTGACGAGTGACGACGAATTCGAGGACGTTTTCGATAATAGTGTTTTCGACGAGAATCACTATGATCAGATGTTCAAGAGGCAGATGATTCGATTGCCGCGCGTAAAGTACAATCGCAAGTTGCTGCTGACCAAGAACCTCGGCAAGTCATTGGATTCCGTCGTGCCGAACGACAAGAAGGATGTACTTTTGAGGGAGAAACGTTATTCGCTCGGCTATTACAGCGAGCACAGGAAAGCTCTGAACGACGATTGCATACGATCCTACGAAGTGTTCACCGATCTGCAGACCATCGACGAACATCATTCGCAAGAAACTAAAAGCAAAGAGAATTTTGCTGGCAAAATTTTCGGCAGGTTCAAAAAGAGTTTCGCCAAATCCAGCGACAATTTAACTGTGGACACAGAGAAGGGACTTATGGGAACGATAAAGAAGAAATGGGGAAGCGCGAGGAGAGTTCAGGAAGATGATTCCTCGGTTTGGTACTGCGATACCAAGCAGCAGGATGATAACAACTTTCTGCAAGTTAAGCACGGCGAAGTCCGACCGGTTTCTACGACCTTCGAGGAAACCGTCGAGGAAATACCGAAGATCCCGACCAAGTATAGCGTCGACATTTCCAATGACGTAATTTACTGGTCGATGCAAACCAGATATGACTGTTGCGATGAAGAGGAAAGCCCGATGGAGGTTTGATCAGACATATTTAAAGAAAGAAAAGAGCAAACAAACAAACAAACAATGCAATAATGTACAAAAAGAAACGCAAATTCAATTTGTATTACTCATTATATTTACATCGATAAGGCTATCTCCGCATCGTGCGGTTTGACGATAAAGCACAAAACACAATTCACACATTTAGTTTATATCTAAATCCAATACATTAAATTTTATTTATAATCAAAAGTTAAAGATAAACGAAAACATGTTTCTTTTCGCTCAATTTTTGGTATTCTTCACTCAACATTTAACTAATCGTAACAATTTCAATTTTCTTCTTTTTCAGAGTTACCAGTTGCCGAGTAACTCACTGAAATCGGATAGAATCAGACAGACCACAACCATCAATCAGTAAGCGTTAATAATTTTAAAATTGTTAATTGTATTTATTATTTATTTATAGAGAATATGTCGTCACGAGGAAATATATGAATATCTATAAAATGACGATTTTGGGAAAACCACAGAAAATAAACAAAGACGATGTTGTGGAAATCTCCGACGGATTCGTCCGTTTGCTTCATTCTAATGGACAGCAGAAGGTTCTTGCTCGTGATGTAGCTAAAAATAATATTTATATGTATATTTTTTTTGTGCAGAATTTGCTCAAAGGATTCTATGTGGTTCATGAGGATAAAGCGGATGGTCGAAAGGAGATTATATTGACGAGCAGCGATAACAAGGAGGTGAGGCTGTTTCAGAAATCGACTGGTAAATTGGCGGAGAAGAAGCTGACGTTGCTGCAGAAGTTCTTGGGCCGCCGGATGACCAAAGACGAGTTGGAGTTGAAGGGGATTTACCAGAACGAAACGATATTCGGAAACACCCTCGTCAAACTGTACGAGACGTCGCAGAGGCCGGTGCCGGAGTTTATCATCAGGATCATCGATCTGATAGAGATGCCGAAGAACATCGTCAGCGATGGTATTTATAGGACGTCCGGCAACTTAGCGACCATCCAGAAGATTCGGATAAAAGTCGATTATAACAACATACAGATCTTGAACGAGTACAAGGAAGACGCCGAAGTGTTGGCCGGTGCTCTGAAGCTGTTCTTCCGAGAACTGAAGGAGAGCATCATTTCGGAAGCTCATTACTTTAAGTTTAAGGATATTTTAAGTAAGCATCGTGTCGCATTATGTGCGGATCTTAATGTGTCGTCCTGTTACAGATACCAATGAATCTGACGAGGACAAGTACAAAGCGACGGCAGAAGTAATCAACACGATGCACGTGGCCCACAAGGAGACGCTGCGTGTGCTCATGGAGCATCTTCTGAAGGTGTCCGACCATAGACACACGAACAACATGAGCCTCGAAAGCATTTCGATATGCTGGGGCCAATCGATCATCTGCTTCAGCGACCATTCCAACAACAACTCCGAAATGGTTCAGGCGGCCACCGACAAAAATAAAGTCGTTCTGCTGGTGTTGAACACCTTCAAGGATTCGTGTGCGTCAGATGTCGTGCATTCTGTGAGTCTTAGGCACCAAAGAAATATTATTGTATAGTGAGATATATTTATGTTTTTATTTATTTTATAATTGTCGACTTCCTCAACCCTTTTTCCCTCATCTGTATTTCATTCTTTGTCTGGGCGAAACATGTTGTTGTACCATTGTGCTTATGGGTTTCTTTGTACTTTATCAGTCTACACTATCTATATCCTATAATCGTAGAATAGTTGATCATATCATCAGCATAAGCAGATATCATATTTAAAAAAAAAACAACTAGTATATAGTGCATCATATTACAGTAGAATAATTGTACATTAAACGCATGTTAATTATTTGAATGTTCCATTTTTACTTATTTTTGTATTTTCTTCTTCTTTTAAATAGAGATTTTTTTGTGTTATAACTTCAATGAAAGACGTTCAAGGATCGTACTAATGTTTGCTTGTATTTAAATTAATTTACAAAGTATATGAAACATGTAAGTATGTGGGATATCTATATAAAGTTGATCAAACGACTAATCTAATTAACTTTTGATTAACCTCCACCAAATGCACAGCAAAACAAACAATTAACGGAAAATATAATAACCCAATCGTATAATTTAGATATTAGTCATATCCTTTATCGTAATGCGCATTACTCATCCACGTACAAATATAAGAAAACCATAATAAGGAATGTATACAACCATATTATCGGGGCAATGTTTTAAGTTTTTTCAAGCTACTATCATTATAAATATGTGTTATAAATCTGTTATTCTTTAGGAATCGACGACCAGCTTCCAATCTATCCAAAGTTTACATCACTTCGATATTAGCAGACATCATTCAAGTAAATATTAACCATCGAAATCTAATGAATTACTTAACTTTTATACACTATTACAGTGCTTTCCAAGACTGTCAGTTCACCGTGTTTGTACACCGCAGATGTGATGACCGAAGTGTATCAAATTATTGAAGGCAAAAATAATATTGAAGGCGTTTACGAGACGAAAGGAAATAAGAAAAAGGTGGACAAGATTTTGAAGAAGGCCACAAAGGAAGGCTCGAAGACGCTGAGGCTTCTTCTGTATGGAACCAACACCACCGTACACGATTTGGCAGATTTCGCGAAAATCTTCGTTCGGAAAGAGAAAAATGCAAATCTACACGTCGATTTCTTAGAACGTCTGAGTAAGTCTGAGTCTCTAAAAATTATCAATCGAATACTTCAATTGAAATTACGAAATTAACATTATTTTACTCCTTTGCAGATGAAGAGGATTTCGATAAAAACGAAATATATGAATACATCAATCGACAGACTTGCTCCAAGACGTTAACTCAACTCTTCGTACATTTGAATAAAGTCTTGGAGAAATCGAACGACCGAACCACCGCCCTCTACAACGTTACCAAAAATTGGCTGTGGGTGTTGTGCGAAACCTCAGCCTGTGCGACGAATTTCGATAAGTTACGATTCGCTATGGAAACGTTGATAGATGCCTACGCTGATCAAAGTAAATGTATTTGAGTTACCATGACAATATTTAATCTAGTCGAAGGACAGCTATTATTAATTCCTTTAATACATATAAGTGATTCACTATTATCGTATGTTACCATAGTAATTTTAGATGTAATTATGAGAAAAATAATTGATATTCAGTGATATATATATATTTTACTATTAGCAGACTTAGACTATGAGTTAAGAGTTAAGTTTTATATACAGAGTTAATACTCATTGTATGAACAGTTGCAGTTTAAAAAATGTTTTCTACTTTTTACTAGGAATATTTCCTTTACAAAACTAATTGAAATGGTATTATTTATGTTATGTTCATATTTTTTTTATTACTATTATTGTTTAGTTAAAGTATACAATTTATTTTATTTGTTAAACTAATTGAAAATAAACGTACAAAAAATAATTATTCATATATAAACATTCTTAATTTAAGAGCAAATGCCAATTAAAAATTTACAAAAAAAATCTTTTAGAAATGAGCTATAGAAATACTTAAGTGGATATTGTGCACAAATGATGGCCAGAAGTTGTGCTAGAAGAAGGAAATAACACTCAAGAGATTACTTCGAAATAATCCAGATGGCTCAATTAAGGAAGTTTATACATTTCTCGCATTAAAAGGTTTTTTTTCAGTGAATTATATAATTAAATAAAAGAGAATAAACTTTACAAAATAGATTTTCTTTTAAAACTAGTTTTTAACTTTTTGGAAACTGAGTAGTTTGATATTCGCTGTCAAAAGCGAAACCTCTATATAGTGGCATGTTTTAGTAACTTAAGTAGCTAAGATTTGATGACAGCGCCACCACAGTAGTAATTCAAAATGAAGATGCTGTAATTCATGAGATTAGATTTATTTTAGAAAAAGTATATATCTTACAAATATTACAATACATAGTTCCAGTCACCTTTTTTATATATGTATATATGTAAAAAGTCTTTGATTAATCTATTTGCAAATTCTGGAAGAGAGTCTTATTCTGCTCCTCCAAAGCTTGCGCCGTCTGATTTGATCCGCTCAGCAAGCTCCACCAGGAAGCCTTCTTAACCCTGCGCGATTCGTCCACGCGAAATGTCTCCGAATCGAGCAACCACTGCTTGTATTTAGTCATCAAGGATAGAGTGTGGCCGTCCAGTTCTGTGGTGCTGGGAGCTTCACCGCCGTAATCCTTTGGCATTATTTCCACTGGAAATCCTTCTGGCACATTCCCTAATAATCACAGATTGGAATTGTCTCTTAATAGCGTAGATTATTTATTACCTTTGTGGAATTTAACGATACTAATGAGCTCTGATCTAATTAACGGTATGACGATCCTCATTATGTGGTTGATGTAGTTGGCTGTGTTCAAGACATGGACCGCTTTCAGTCTGGCTGGGTGAGCTTCCTGAAATTAACGATTTCAGTGCAATTTTAGTATTAAATTGTGTTATTTAGATGTTACCTGAATGTAGACCATGAATGCTTTAAGGGCTGGTAAGCTGACCCTTGCTATATGTCCCAGAGCTAAGCCTTTCATATCAAACAGAACAACGTATCTGCAAGATACACGATCAAATGAATAAAGAATCAATGGAGAATAATTCATCATCATCACCCTTCCGCGAGTCCATCCTCAGAAAGGATGCAATCGTTGAACATGCAGAAGCCTTTAACAGCATCAGCGAAGACCAGTTTCGTGTAGTCGGTGTCTTTAACGCTGTACATCAAAACCTTGTAACCTTCGGGCGTATCCTTTGGTAACCGGATTATGTGCCTATGAAAAAGCGGGAAAACAAAAACCACATTAGTGGGTGTCAAATTTTGTGAAGTGTCACACGAGCAACAGAGATGTTAACATGAGTTTCAAGTATCTAACAAAATTCCCAGTGAATTCACAAGTAAGTTTTCATCAGCGAAGCTTCCGCCGCTTCTGCGCTTGAATTCCAGTGAATTTGATAACATTTATGTTTCTTTAGCTGTCCGACTTCCATCTTCCCTCTTCTATATCATGCCTCGTTGGTCTGAGCCGCCCAGTCTCCCACTCAAAGCCACGGAACATCTCTCTGCTTAACGGTTCAGATGTGTCACGGTCATTCGATGTTCTGCAGAGACACCAGAGTCCAATAAATCCTAACAGGAGTTACGCGCTTTTCGCTAAGAATAAGCAGGAAAAACCGAAAGCCAATAATAATATTAATAAGAAATGTCCGGTGCCGATGAAATGCGATGTTGTTCAAGACAAAAACGGTAATATGTCGTATATCTGCGCTCCCTACGACTTCAATAAGAATAAGAAGGATTGCAAGCCCACACCTGAATGCTCCTCGCAGACCTCTGCAGAATGTAAAATGAGTTGCGCGAAGATGGGTCTGCACTGCTGTTGTATCATCAAGTACAAACCGGAGGATCTGATTAAAATCCATCGATCCGGAAAAGCCATCAAAGCGCAGGGTACCATTTGTTGGGACGATCCGGAATGCCCGAAAGTAGATGAATGCAAGAAGAAGGAAAAACCGAAACCGATAAAATGCGATAAACCTATGCCGCCACCTCAGATCGCCCCCGAGCCGACGTGCGAAGGTTTCATCTTGGATCCTGACGCTTGCGACTCGAAGAAAGCTACGAACAAGGCTTCAACTCCAGTACGGAAATCTTCGAAACAAAAAGCGTTTGCCAGACTTTTCTCCAGAGATGCGAGTGCAGACCGCAATAAAGGTAAAAATGTACGATCCGACAAATGTAAGATTAAGGTTCCCAAGAAGAAAGTTGAAACTACGAAACTGAAAAGTTCTAAAACCAGTTTGCTGCCGAAAAAATCTAAGAGTGCAATTAAACCTGCACCAACTCCAACTCTGAAGTCGAAAAGTTCCAAAACTGTTTTACCTTCGAAATCAAAAGAATCCGATTTGCTGTCGAAGATGAAGTTTTTGCTACCTATCAAGGAGACGAAAGTTTGGAAAGATGATATCAATTCTGCGTGCAGTCCAAAAAAATTGGATAAGCGTCCAAATGTCGAGATGAAAAAGGGAGCTACACATGGTGGATCCCCAAAGAAAGCCGATAAAGTTGGTGCACCCAAGACGGAAAAGATTATTAGCAGTGATTGCGATATAAGGCAGTTCCAATTTGATACTTCCGTAAAGAGCGCGACCCCGGCTGACACCGAAAGCGGATGTATCGAGGTGAATGTTCCGCTAATCAAGGAATATCTTACGAAGGTGAAAAAGAATGTATGCCCAAAAGTCTGCAAGTCGGTGTTGGATCAGAAATGGTCGGAGTTGGGACTGACCAAGGAGAATCTTGCGAAATCTTTAGCACCTAAGCCATCAACAGTGACCAAAGGTAAAGACGATAAACCGACGGTAAAGGCAAAATCGTCGGCTGCACTCACAAATGTTAAAGAAGTTAAACCGGTTAAATTGGAGCCGAGTAAGTTGAGTGTGAAGCCTGCAGAGAATGTAGTTTACACTAAGGAAGGGGTTAATCTTAAACCGAAAGAGGCCCCGGCGAAGAGCAACTCTTGGGGGAGCTTGTTGAAATCATTACCGACACCAAAGGAAACTCCAAAAGAAGTGCCTAAATCGAAACCGGCAGCTGTTAAGGAGGTTGCAGCCAAAACTACAGCAGCTGCAGCTAAACCGACGGCGGCTGCAGTCAAAACGACGGCGGTTGCAGCCAAAACGGCGGCGGCTGCAACGACTGTACCAAAAAAAGAAGTTGACCCTAAAACTGATTTGGAAAAGTTCTGCGATCAAATTAATTCTGTTCAGAACAAAGTCGATTCTTGCAAGGATACTGTTGTAGACGTGGACTGTCTTATTGACGATAAAACTGAATCGTGTTCTGCAAGGTGCAAGTCAAGATATAATATGGAAGAAAAAGCAGATTGTTGTCCAACTAAAGCGGACAGTTGCGAAAATGCAGAAACTGTATGCAAGGATGATTGCGAAGAAAGCAAAGATTGTTGTGAAGATAAAAAGGATACATGTAAAGATAAAACAGATACGTGTGAAGACCAATGTGAGAATAAACTGGATGCATGTGAAAATAAAAAGGAGATGTGTGAAGAAAAAGTAAATTGTTGTGAGGATAAAAAGGATGTTTGTAAGGATCCTTGCGATACCAAAGATAAGTGCAATAAAGGAAAGGATGAAAAGAGTGCAGACAAATGCAAGGAATCTTCAAAGTGTTCCTCCAATGAAATGAAATGCAAAGATTCTGATAATGAATCCAAGAAAGGACCGCCCAAAAGCGGTGGTTGCTCTTCTGGAGGTGAATCCTCCGGATACATTTGTCCTCCGTCATCGAATCAACCGTCGCAACTTTTATTCAAAGCCTGCAATCTAGAGGCCTCGAAATTGAACAGAAGGTTTCAAGTTGAAGCACTTTTAATTCCTCACTCTTTGGAAGTGTACTCAGTATTGAAAAACTCTGTCTTACCAAGGCAAATCGTACCTCGATCTAAATCAATTACAGATAATGTACGGAGGTATTCCAGAAAGAGCGATTCCGTCGAACAATTCCTTCCTCAGATGGAACGCGTTTCAATTCAATTCCCCGAGAAAACATCCACTCCCTTCTACTACAGAATAATGCAAAGTCTCAAAGAATTCTTCGGATTTAACACTGAACCTAAACTGGATTTGAGTTTTGTTGAAAGGCCGGTGTCGGCACCAGCACAGAAAAGCTTCGAAGAGAACATGTCTTCCTCTATTATGTTGTGCAAGAAATGCTGCGAACTTCCGAAGGAAGATCCACCCGAAGAGAAGAAGGAACCCGATCCATGTAATCGTTGCGAGAAGTACGATAAACCAAAGAAGAAGAAAAAGAAATCGGAATGTTGCGAGACATCTACCGGAGTTGACACGTGGTTAGAGTCGAGAATGTCAACGAAGAAGTCCACAGAGAACTCCAGGTGCGGTTGCTACGAGCTGTGCTGGGATCCGCAGAAGGGAAAGTGCGGAATGGAGGAATGCCCCAGATGCAGGAGGTACGCCGTGTACGAGGATCCTGTAGCTAAAGCGAAGCCTACGAAATGTGCGGTAATCACAAAGACGCCGCCGAAAATGGCTCCGAGGAACTGCTGCAAGCCTCGAAAGATAAACAGACCTAAGCCCTGTGCATACATCAAGCAGTTGGAAGGTAATGAAATACATTTAGAGAAAATTCATTGAATTCTGATATGATAATATTAAATATTCAGAGGGAACTTGCCAGGAGAAGAAGAAGAAACAACCGGAACTTGACAAATGTAAGTTGTTTCTTGGAAAGAAATTGTGTAATTAATTACGCTATCATTTCTTTTAGCACCCTGCGGAGGACCATGTCTTAAGAGCAGGTGCAATATTTCAACTAAAAAAGGTTCGTTGTTAATATTATAATTTGTTATATTTCGAAAAGTAATTTATGATTTCTTTATTTTATAGTTCCTTGTGATCCCAAGAAACCGTTTTGTCAAGAAAGTAATTATTTTCACGTTTATGTCCCAATATCGAATTTCATTTATATTTTATTTATTTTCTTAGAGCCTCCTCCGACACTTATGAAAACTGGCGCGGTGGAAGACAATAAACCTACTTGCAAATCGACGGTCAAGGTCAGTTCGGCTAGACCTTTTAAGTCAATTCGGGAATGCGGACCGCCCAGACCCGTCGAGATTCCCACAGAAGAACCTATCAGAAGTATGATGATATTTGATTAAAGTATTGGCATTGATTCATTCTGCTTTATTTTTATCAGAAGCCAAAGGTTGTCAGCGCTCGAATCAGTGTCAAGATTCCGGGGAGGAAAGTCTGTGCGGATCTCCAAGTAACCTTCCGTTCCCTAGATTGGATGGAAAACTGCCACAACCATCTGATAAATGCAATAAGGGTTTTCTGGATGAATGCAAGTGCTTCTGCGAAACGGTCATGAACGTCTTCGCTCCGCCGGTTAATCCGAAGCATTCACCGACGGAATACTATACGACAGGAAAAGTGGTACAAGAGAAGAAGGCTGAGGTTCAGACGGGCAAGGTTGTATCGTGTAAGCAATCCGTCTGCAGGCCAAACGTCGAGAATAAAATACACTACTTGGAGCCGGCGCCGGTGCAAATTGCTAAACCGCTGAAGCCGGAACGGTACATAGGTCGACCGTGTAAGAAAGATACGCAGATTCTACGTGGTCGCATCACCAAAGAACCTGTGAGAAGAAATTACTTGGAGAATTTAAAGACGCAAAAGAAGCCTTTAGGCAGGACATTCCCCAACGACTATGAGAAGGCCTTCGAAACGAAGTATCAATGCAAGCGGGTACCTGCATTCGGCGATAAGTGCGGCACCAAGCACAAGAAGAAGAAGGGGTCTGGATACCTGAGGCCTCTGGAGAAGAAACCCGCGGATACGAGAAATGCGGTTTGCGGTTGTGCAAGGCCGATCGCTTGCAAGAAGAAACGCAATTAGGAACATTTTCGATAGGTATTAGACTCGTGTGTTCATTTCAATAAATATTTATATCTATTATTTGAGTGTGATTTTTTTGCTTACGCAATTTCTGTGCAAGTTTTGATTTTGTTTGAATCGACATCGCGATTGCCGAATATAGATGCGGTGTTTGTGCGCAATGTGAAGTACGTCTCGATGGCCTGTTTCGTTCGATCCTGATTGTAGTAGCATGCGTGCAAGAACAGGTAGATGTATTCATCGGAGATGGTGGGTAAATGTGCTTGAGTGATGATCCTGTAACAGAAAACACGTTTGTCAAATACACATATTTATTGAACAAAGATATAACTTGTAACTTGACTTGTACTAATATAGCTTGCCTAGACATAATGTTGACAGATGTCAAGTAAAATATGTTTAGATACTTTACTTCTTGTCAACATTGACAAACTGTCAAATAAAACTTTGAGACTTTGATTAACAAAACAAAACTATTGCCATAATCATCAATTACCTAGCTAATTATAATGTTATCACATATATAAATATTCAACAGTTAATTTTATTAATTGATTTTATAATAGAAATCCATAAAGTCGATAGTCTCAATTAAACTCAAGGAAAAAAGAAGAAGAACTTTGATGACGTACATCGTAAACATAATTTTATGCTGGAATTCAAAATTCCCTACTTAATTCAATAAAATTGCGTAATCCTAGACTGAGATTTGAACGTGAACTTGAGCCACATTTGCCACAAAGCCGCGGCGAATTAGTGAAACAAAAATAATTAAGATTTCGTTACACCTGTATCAAGAAAATCGATTGGTCTTGTGAAACTGATGTTAAAAAGTAGGTCATGCATTTTTCTTCCCTTGAAATCATTTGAAAAATATATAAATATTTCAAACTTTCCATATCCTTGATGACAATAATAATTGTTTTTTTTTGTCACCCGTTTGTTTGTTAATTGCTTGTGGAAACTGCAGGTAATTGCGGAAACACGTGCTAATTAATTGGCGACCGATAATTTCCGTACAAAGAATTGATGATGATTTTCTGTCGTTTCATGATTTCCTCGCACGTCAATTAATGAAGAGAGCAGAAATCACAGCCACCGTCAAAAGAAGAGGACAACAGCATCTTGGTAATAGGTTATTATTAATGGATGTCGTATACGTCGAGAAAGTTAAGTGGCTCGAATTACTCAGATTTTTCTTGCAACAATTTATTATCGAATCAATTACGAATGAAATTGTGTTTCGTTTGAACTAATCAAACGGTCACAACATGAGTGCAAGTGTAATTACTGATCAATAATTTCGTTGTTATATTTCGAACGTTTCCATAGCAACATTATATATTTATTGTTGGGTTAGGTAGATTTAATTATGTAATTAATATTACGACTTTGAAAGATAATTAAGTATAAAGTTTTCCATGTAAAACAACAATTAAAATTGTAAATTAATTCTTTCTTTTGCTGCGAACACTTATTTTAATTGCAATTAAAATAGCATTAAAATCAATATTTTTGTTATTATTGCTATATTTCAAATGTTTCCTTGGCAACATTGTATATTTACTTTAATTAATAAAGCATTATATAAATTTAATTATTACAATTAATAACACGATTTTAAAAGATAGTTAAGTGAAAATTTCCAATGTAAAACACATGCATCCAATTATAATTAATTCTTTCTTCTTATTACGAAGACTTATTTTAATTGCAATTAGTATTTTATACTTTCTCAACAATAATTCTGAATAGTTATTATAAATAAAGAAAATTCTATGGTATCAAGAAAGTGCTTTCTGTTTTTGTTTTCTTTAATTAATTGTGTAAACAAGAATAATCATTTCTATAGATTAGTTTAATTAATTAAAATTATTAAAAAGAATACAGAAATGGTAAATAACTTTATCGTAATTGGTAAATGCTAATAATAAAATAAATCAATATATATATAACTGTTTCACTTTGGAGAAATTTCTAATTGCAAATTTCCCTGTTTATTCATAAATAATAAAAAGGAACAGAAATCATATAGACACGGATAGTATTGTAATTCACTCTATAATAAATAATTCTGCTTTCTCCATGGAAACGCTTAATTTACGGTAAATCCAAAAAAATACCGGTAAAGTTATTTTTACAAATTATTTTTTAAAGAAAATTATTGGAGCACAACTATTGAAAATCATTATTGATGTTTACATTTAATGATATTTTTATACGTTTTAGGTATTATTTTATAATTGGAAAGCGAATTTTACTGTGTTATTTAAATTAATTTGTTTTCTTTTTCAATTATTTTATGTATATTTTTTTGACAAATGTCATTTTAATTATTTATGTATCCTTTTCATGAATATCAAAGCAACTTGGTGTCATCAATATCGACTTTACTTTGCTTACATATTTAAAATAACTTCAAAAAATGTTATTTCTTCATTTTAATTTCATGAAAATCATTAATTTTGAAAAATTAAGCATAATTTTTTTAATGACGGTTTGAGTATTTTCAGTAATTTGTTTTTTTTTCAATTATTTTATGTAATTTTGTGACAGATGTCATTTTAATTATTTATGTATCGTTTTCATGAATATCAAAGTAACTTGGTTTCATCAATATTGACTTTATAAAAATTAAATATTTCGCTTTCAAATAACTTAAAAAAATGTTATTTTCTTCATTTTAATTTCATGAACATCAAAGTTAGTTGCTGTTATAAATCTCAATTTTGAAAAATTAAGAATATTTAATGATGCTTTGAGTATTTTCAGTAATTTGTTTTTTTTTTCAATTATTTTATGTAATTTTGTGACAGATGTCATTTTAATTATTTGTGTATCGTTTTCATGAACATCAAAGCAACTTGGTTTTATCAATATCGACTTTACTTTGCTTTCATATTTCAAATAACTTAAAAAAATGTTGTTTCTTCATTTTAGTTTCATGAACATCAAAGTTAGTTAGTGTTATAAATGTCAATTTTGAAAAATTAAGTATATTTTTTTAATGACGTTTTCAGTATATTTATTAGTTGTGTATCGTTTTCATGATTATCAAAGTTACTTGATGCCATCAATATTAGAAAAAAACTCTTTATTTTCAAGCTAAACATTGTATGTTTGTCTTCATATGATGTAAAGTATACTATAAGAAAGTGTACTTGCACTTATTCTAGATTGAATTGTATAATTGTTAATGACAAATCCTTAGTGATTTTATTAGAAAATGTTGGTAACAGTAAACGATTCACAGAAGTTTGTAGTTAACCTGTGATATATTCATCGAAATGCAAATGAAGTGTGAAATTTCTAATTTTAGCGAAAAGTGGCAAAGGTCTTTCGCACTAAAACATTTTTTTTTATAAAACATACATAAACTTAAGTTTTATCTTATAAACTTAAAGTTGTACTACATTCTCAATTTTCTCTTGACATTAACTTTAAATTCACTGATACTAATATTAAAATGAAATTGAAGTACGCTCAATTTACATTTGTTTGAGAGAACAAATGTAGACTTTAATAAACTTTAGATAAATTTGAAAGCGTTGAGGACATACCATGATCGAATCTTTTGCAAATCCTTCTTTTTGCCTGCAGGATAATTCTTCAGGCCATCCAAGAACGGGTGACTCGTCGAGCACATGTCTTCAGTTGTATTTAAGCGTTCGATGATTTAGAAAGTTCTACGAAATCGTGAAGATCAGAGAGACAATGCGACCACTCGCGACGATGGCTTTTGGGTACTCTCGGTACGTTCGCCGCGAATCAAATAATCTCGACACAGAAGAGATCCCAGCTACATTTGGAAAGCGAAAGTAGGAGGTAGGAGGCAAATACGTAAGCTGTATGTACTACTACTTACTACCTGCTTCAAGAGCCATGGACACAGTTCACGCTACGCTTTCCTTAATTATTATATTTTTGTTTTGGATAAAAAAAATTGCGGAAATTTCAATTTATCCAGTAATAATCGCAACGGTGAAAAGTTGTCCAACAGGAAATTATTCAAATTGTATTTGGGAAATTCATTAAAAGTCGAAGCAACATTAAGAGCGACGAAAACATCATAATTTATTACAAACGAAATGTTTGTTTGTTCATCTTCTCGCTTCTTCTTGTTCAGTTTTGCTATTGGCACATGTTTCTTTTTGTTTGTACATCACATTTAGATGGTGGACGGTTTCACCGAGAGCAGCAGTTGTTTTCCAGACGTTAACCATTCCATATTGTTAACGAAATTCTACATTAAAGAGAAGAAAAAAAAACTAAGAACAGTGCACACGATTTGATGGTTCGTATATTAAACATAATTGCGATTTCTCGACGTAATTTCTCTTCTGCTTTTATTCCTGCATTGCGTTCATGAAATCAACTTTTTTATTTTTAATTGAATCAATAGAGACGACATACTTCATGAACAACAGTAAGTTTTTTTCTTCCTTGTTGAAAATGTTTATTCTATAAACTCAACCAATCTTAATTAACTTCATTTTGAACAAGAATTACAGCCAAATGAATGAATCCATAATAAAGTATGAATACTTGCTACATTTCTTAAATATTCGGCTTTCGTGTGAATCTTCAGGATTCATTCTATCTATTATAGTTTCCGAGAAAATCAATAAAATGTGAAAACACTGCTTTTTCAAACGTAGATTTTTGTTTTCTAAAATTTGAACGAGAATTGCAGACAAATAGATGAAACCAAAATAATGTGTGAATACTTTCTACATTCCCCCAAACACCCAACTTTCATATGCATCTTCTGGATCTATTCTATCTATTATAGTTCCCGAGAAAATCAATAAAATGTGAAAACACTGCTTTTTCACACGTAGATTTTTGTTTTCTCAAATTTGAACGCGAATTGCAGACAAATAGATTAAACCAAAGTAATGTGTGAATACTTGCTACATTCCCTCAAACACCCAACTTCATATGAATTTTCTGGATCTAGTCTATCTATTATAGTTTCAGAGAAAATCAATAAAATGTGATTCGAGCGTTAATTTCTAATTTTTTCAACTTTTAACGCGAATTAAACCAATAGAGACGACATCTTTGAGTTAAAAACCATACTTTATTCTATGCAAAATATAAAAGTTTTTATTTATTCAATACTTTACATTTGAAAGCAATAATTAAGTACTATTTGAAGCGTATGTCAGTTGGAGGGATGACCAATACAAAACTGTCAACTTGGATTAAATCCTAGAAAATGCTCATAAATTATTACTAAAAACAAATAGTTATTATAGTAATGGGTCGAAAGGTTGATAGTTTTTTCGTACAACCTATGGCCAATAAAGATGTTTAAATAATTAAATTACAATATTTCTTAAAATTTCTGTGCAAAATATATAATATAAATACAAATAAAGAAATATGTTGATTAATTGATTATTATAACATTTAGTAATCCTTCGGCTGAGAATGTGTGGGTTGTAAATGTGAGAAATCCTTAATGCTAAAATCTGAATTCATTGGCTTTTGGAAAATAACAAAAATTGCATATAAAAGTTGTTTGTAAAAAAATATATTTTCCATTCTTTAACCTTTTGACATCGTAAACATTCAAATTGCCAGATAAATTAAATATGCATATAAAAATCTTTGTTTTTTAGTTTACCATAATTGAGGTTTGAAAGAAAACTTACAACATGGAAACTAACTAATTCATAGCAGAAAAATGTTACAAAAACATATTTGTTTGAAGTTGTACCAATTTTTTTAGTGTATTTTTCCAGTTCCTTGGCTTTGACACAAGGTGACAGCTGTCAATTCAAGCGACCCATTCAAAATTTAAACGTTTTTAATAGAACATTATAAGCGAAATGTAAAGAAAGTAAATACAATTTATGTTAAAACAAAAACATAGGAGAAATTTGAGACTTAATCATTATTAATAGAACATTATAATCCAATTTGTGGATAAATAAAGAGATACATCCTGGATATCCTGTCATTTATTTGTTTTTATTTTAATTATTATAATGTTTTTCATTCAAAAAAAAACCTATGATTATGTAAATTGAGAGTCTATGAATTTGTAATGTTTCTAATAAATAAATATTTCCTTATATAATCATGTATATTAGTATCAAAATAATGAAAAGGAAAAGTTTCATTCTTAAACAACTAAAAACTTAAATTAATAATAAGCTTGTTTCTTCATTGAAATTTTGTAACACGATAACACTCGTGTACATAAAAAACACAAGATATACCAATCTTCAACCCGCTAGGGCGTGAGTCCGTGACGTGGGAAGGTTCAGGGCGCCACTTCCTTTTATAGAGAGGAAGAACTCTAACAACTGCTTCCAGATCAGCAACTTCTTCTCCGACGGTGGGCCTTAGCTCCTTTAGAGCACCAACACCGTCCTCTTGGAGATTACAAATATATCAGAATATCTTCTTAAACTGGAGACCTCAACCGTCTTCTTTCGCGGTTCGCTGCGGTCTCCTCGAATTTTGGAAACATAGTTGCAACGTGGAGCGCACTTGCAGCGTTGTCGATTTTACCACGTTACAATTTATATGTCAAATAAGCACTCAAAACAAAAACTAATATAACATATGAAAAGAATCTCAAAATTGCTAATTTGCTAAATTCTAAATTTCTTCCTTTATTTTTTAAATATTATGCAAATATTTAAAATTCTCTGTCTCTACACAGATGTAAATAATTTACTGAATTTAATATACAAAATGTTATTATGCACTCGTCGATTCAATTGTTTTCACCGAATAAAAACATTATAAAATTCAAGGAACGCCATGACATTAAAGTATCAAACAAAGTCATTAACTTATTATATTTTTTTTTGTATTTTTGCGTGCAAAAATCTATTAGATACAATTTAATGTAGGTTTTCCATAATAAACAATTAGAACTCATGCAGTCTTAACTTATTTATTAAGTATTTTTCTTTACTTCATTTTTTAACATTCTGAACAAATGGATAATTATAGACAAATTGATGAAACCACAGTATCCAAGTTTTGTATGCATCTATTTTACTTATTATAGTTTCTAAGAAAATCACTAAAATGTGAAGACACTGCTTTTTCGTGTGCTAATTTTTCATTAGTCAAACTTTGTTAATTACAGTCAAACTGATTCAACCACACTAATATGTGTATGCATGTTACATTCCCCAAACATTCAACTTTCATATGCATGTTTTGGATCCATTTTATCTGTTATAGTTTCTAAGAAAATCATTGAAATGTGAAGATACTGCTTTTTCGTGTGCTAATTTTTCATTAGTCAATCTTTGCTAATTACAACCAAACCAATTCAACCACACTAATATGTAGGTACACGTTACATTCTCCAAACATTCAACTTACATATGCATCTTTTGGATCCATTCTATCTATTATAGTTTTTGAGAAAATCACTAAATATTAAAATAATGCTTCTGTAATTACATTTTTTCTTTAATACGGTTCTTTTTCGCATGTGCATTAAAGTAAGTAAACCGATGCGAGTTCCTGGAAACAAAGTGATAGGTTCCCATCGGTGGTGATTTTCGCAATTGTAAATAATCTTGAATATTGTACGCGAATTGTGAAAGTCTTTCTCAGCAGATGCATTTCTCTTGCTGCAGCAGCAGCCACCGCCGCCGCCTCTGTAGAATGGCACTTGCTGCGAACCTCTTAAGCATCAGGAAGTCGTTTGCGCAACACTCTTTCTTTGGGTTTCCTAGTTATGCAAGCGAAGCAAGCGAAATCGAAACATGATTTAATTGAATGCAATGCGAGCGTCTGTTGCACATTGACCTTAACTAGAATTCAATAAAAAAAAATTACGAAAATCTGAGAGTGAAAAACTAATTTTACTAACTAATTTTTTAATTGTTTTATACAAAAAAAAAATGCACGTGTAGTATTTGATTCGCTTCAATTTTTTTTTCCCTGAAATTATAAAACAATTAAAGATTTCTTAATAGTGATGTGCATAAATAAGTCATAGAAATAATTTGGATTTTTACGATTCAATTACGTTTTTTATTTCATAAAATCATTTAAATCTATTGACACCTGTCATCATTATTAAATGACATCTGTTACCTGACATATTGACACCTGTTATTGACAGGTGTCATTGGATTATCATTTGATAATCCAATGTTGACTCAATAATCTATGTCAAATTACTAATGTTTTATATCATCATAAACTATTCTTTAATTTTTATAGGCTTTTTGATGCAATGTGTAAATTTTAAGTTTAATTATTTAAAACTCTTTCTAAAAGATGTCTTCTTAAATTACATATTGATCCTCTCTTGGAGAAAGTGCAAATAACTGTTTACAAAGTAAATAAATGATTAATGCTTGCTATAACTGTGTCAAATATACTACCAATAATAATAATAATAATTCATAAAACGTTAAATTTTGTTATTTACACTATTATTAAGAACGTTAATACAAAACGTTAATACAAAATCCAGAGTTTCAGTTGTTAACATTTGTTTTCTGTATCCTATTGGCACTTAATAATTAATCAAGTAAACATGGATTTGCAATTATCATAGCAATTTTTATAAAAAATATATAAATATTTTCATAAACGCTTTCAGATATTTGTACTATGATTCAAATAATTATAGAAAATTACAAGTTTTCTTTGTTAATAAAGAAATCTCTATTTATAATTTGCATACAGTTAAAAATATTTCATACATTTGTGTTTATTTTTGTAAATAATAATAAAAATATAATAAATTACTTTGAAATAATAATACGAAGTACGCTAAAAGACGTTAGCAAAGTCATACTTTTTGATATTTCTTCTTCTTCTTTCCACACCTTCCCAATTCACTCAGCTTGCACAATTTCGCCAGCAACTTTTTTGTTATTATAACTCTGCTAAAGTTCATTACTGCTGCTAGCTTAGTTACTGGATGGGTATATTGATATTTAAATTTGTTTGGTTGGTCAAGGTAGGCAATAAATGTGGACATGTACATTTGATGGTCTACCTTCGCTGGACAACATTAAAACAAAAGCGTAACGGCAGCGCAAAAATCGTTAATAATAGATGTATTCAAACACATGCGAACATATCTTGTACGGTAGAAAAAGGAGCGCGTCGAGCGATCCGCTTCAGTGTATGCCTATATACCGAGCCGTGGTTCATTCAAAATCCAAATTGATCGGAAAAGGACGACAACACCACCTCCAATTTCATCCTGCGAGAAAGAAAAAACACCGCGCGCTCTTCAAATAACAGTTAACATCACCAAGGTAACAATCTTATTTTGTTTATTTAATACTAACAACATATTTAAAAAGAAAAAAATCACTTTAATAACTTTTAATATAGGAATTTTGAATTAACTAAATTTTGTCTTCAAAAAACGTTTTTATTTTCGTTTTAAAAATTAATATTTTTTATCGCACTTTTGTAAATCGACTGGAGCAGATAAACAATAATAATAATTGAACATTGTTATTGTTCTTTCCTTTTGTATGTGTTTTTTTATATATAAATTGAAATTATTAGTTGCTCGCCCTTCGACTAAATGCAGGTGCCATTGATACGGGCCTGCTTATTTACTCTGATTCCCATGGCAATGACAAGATAAAAATTGGTGCAAGTAATGCACACTGTCGTAACTATTGTTTTAATGTCGCGCAACAGTCGAGTAAGCATAAAGTTTAAAATGTTATTGTATTAAAAACTGAGCTGTTGAACTTGACATCAAAATACTTATATTTGACATTCAAAATCGGTTATTTCTGCAGATAATTTGTATTCAAAAAAAAAATACAATTTAGCGGTTCAATAAAAGCATGTTTGGATTGAAGAAAATTCGTTTCTATGGTTATATAATCTCAAGAAATTTATAATTTAATTAATAGTCATTAGATAAAATGCTAAAACCGAAGCTTCAGTTTAACATTTATATAAATAAAGATAAGTTACTTAACTTTCTTAAGATATCAAAAAAATTAAATTTGTGTTTCAATTTTTTTGGAATGTATGTGTTTTGAAAGATTCTTCGGTCATGGCTTTGAGAATATGAAAGGTCATTTATTTCCTGTTGCTTTTAATGAAGTTCGATTGATCCGTGTCTGACCTTAGCATCGTTTTATTTATTAATTCCTAAAACTACGTACGTATCCGAGAAAGTTTCGACAAAGTTTCCTTTCGTTTCCTTCTGAAACTATCCGCAATATGCTAAAATGCACTAGATACGTACACGCTGAATCATTTCCATTTCAATAATAACTATAATAACAATAGTTATAGTTATAGCAAATGCATTACTTGCAACTTTTTTATATTTATTTTTTTTATTTATAATGAATTTTTATTGCGATTGAGTTGTTTATTTTGTTCAATTTTATTGGCTTGTTTTCGTGGTTGAAGGTTAATTAGATTGTTCGTAACATTACCATATTTGGTACTAATTTAGACAAATATCCACGCTACTATCGAAACCCGAGTATTTCAAACACAACTTACCGTTTGTACAACAATGCAACTGACATGTATAAAAATGTAAATATCTTGATATAATCATCTAAAGGAAAGTTAAGAAATGAATAATTATCCTCGTTTTCTCAAGTAATATAACCATGTGGGGTAATCTTATTACATTTTTATTAATAATCTAAGATATGTAACATATATAAGATTTTAATCCAGTTTACACATTATGTAACAAAAAAATGTATATAATTCTGTACATTTATATATTTTACCAAAATCCTGGACTGTTTTAAAACGGACTAATCGAGTATTTTAAAACCACATAAAATACTTTTTGTGGACAAAAAAAACAAGTCGCGAGGTATTGTTACTCGCGTGGCGTCTGTGAGACACAAGTGGGTACAAAACAAATAGGAAAGGTGGGACAATCCCGATCAATGTACTTTCTAACTATTGTAAAAGCACATCACCTCATTTCAGAGTAAGGAATAACAGTAAAATATTCTATCAGACGCCATGCGAGTAATTGAAATTGTATATCTTTCCAAAGACAATTATTCAAATAAATAGTTTCTGTTTGAAGTTTAAGATTGACATTGAAAGTGTAACCTAAGTCAATACAGGAAGGATATATTATAACTAAAGCTTACGTAACTGACATTCGTTTCTAGTTTGGAAACAAGAACTAAACGCATGTATAGCATCTATGTTTTTGGTCCATTTTTAGAGCGTGTTTCCATCCGAAAAAAAAAATAACGAATAGGACAAGCAACTAACGAAACATCATCAATCAATGTTCCGCTTTGAAGGATAGAGAGAAAAATGCGAAATAATCGATCGAGACTCGTGCATTTGTGGTGCTAAACAGTCGCAATAAAAGCGAACTCAATTACCTGTCCGTAATAATTTCGACGAGATGACAAGTTCCGTTGATTTTTGGTTGCGTGTTTTCCATTTGCTCGCGTTTCCTGCTCGCCTTCATCTATTTGTTGTTGTATTTTAGCCATTTTGTTTCTGATGCAAATGCAATTTTACGCATCGCTATGGGGAAACGTTTCGGCGTCTTCGCTTAATAACGTATTAAGACGCTATTTTGCACGTTACAATCTGCGCTAATTTGAATATTTGCTTTGAATTTATTCATTCCGTTCTGCAATTCATAGCAAACACAATCAAGCAATTGCATTTCCACTACAATCATCAATACTTCATGCATAGGCCATTTGCTGCATACAAGTAACTTATTTGGCATGCCGAAAGATTACTACAAATTAACTATGCATTCAGTATTCATTATACGTTAATCATAGTTTTTTTTTTGTAGTCATTCTTCCAATAGGAATCAATAGAGCAATGTTCATATAACTGTAATTGAATTTATTGCCCAGACAATAGCAACAAGTCAAGTTCAATTTTGGTAATTGAATAAAAAAACGAACCTTCATATCGATTATTTTGACATAAGTGACGTTAAAATGTTTATAAGTTATAACAAAAAAAAATATCATTGGATGATTATTTTTTATGAGACACCCGGTATAATTGAACACCCTATACTTAGATTCGCAGCATCCAGTCTACACGATCCATACAGAGTTGACGTGTTGAATTTCGTGAACACTCCCACAATCTTGCAGATGTGGAACATCAATTCTATTTGAAATATAATTAACGGAATCGTACAACTTATATTCTTACATAATTCAATTATAAAAGAACAAACTAATTTGTTATTAATAATAATAATACACGTGGCATTGGCTAACAACAACAATTTAAAACGTTTATGAAAACGATTTCACAATAATAACTCTATGTTTATTATTAATAATTATTATGCGACGAAGTAAAACGTATCCTTAAATGTACGTAATTATTTGCAAAAGTCTGTATTTCTGTGGACTTTGATGAGATCTAACGTGTTCGTTGTTTTGTTTGCACAGCAACCATGGAAACGGTTCGTTTCGGGTTCAAAGCTGAAGATGTCATCGCGGAGGGCAGAACGACGCGCGAAGAGATCGAGGAATTGCGACGAATGCTCGTCGACGTGAACGTCCCAGAATTGACGGACGAGCAAATCGTCCTCTTCATATTGTCCTGCGATCGCGACCTGAAATTCACCGTAACCACGGTAAAAGAGTACTATTCTGCACGCAAGAATGGTCCAGAGTTGTTTAGCAACAGGGACTTAGAACGGCCTGATCTTCAGTACCAATTGGATGTTATGTAAGTCATAAGAATACCGTATCGATTAGCTGAGACGTAAGCGTCATTAGGTAATATTCATTGTTTCGTGTGTTTTTTTTTGCTAGAGAGTACAGTATATTTCCGGAGCGGACTGACGATGGTTGTGCGGTTCTGTTCCACCGTTTGCACGACACCTACTTCAGTCATTACCAGATGGAGCAGTCGATGAAGCTGCTCTTTATGACGTTGGACTCGGCCGTTTTCGATCATCCGCCCACCGGACTCGTCATACTGTTCGATATGAAAGGCGTGCGTTTGAATCAATCACTTGACTATTATTACAACCTGTCTCATTTTATTTTTGTTTTCTTTCAGGTGGGATTGATGCATCTGACGCGGATAAAATTAGGAGCGCTCAGGAAGTTCTGTCACTACCTGCAGGAAGGTTTGCCTGTCAAACTGAAAGAAATCCACGTGCTGAACACCGCTTACTTTATCGACAAGCTGATGGCAATCATTAAGCCGTTAATGAAAAAGGAGATATTGGAACAGCTCCACTTCCATGCACCCTCTGCAGATATGGATATGTTTTACCAGAACTATTTGCCAAAGAAATGTATGCCGAGCGATTTCGGCGGCGACCTTCCGGACGTCAGGGAACTTCACTGTGCGAACACGAAGAAGTTGCGAGAAATGCAGACCCATTTCGAATCGGAAGAACGACAAAGGTCTAATTACTATCAGAAGCAGAAATAGCTGTTAAATAACTTATTTTATGGCAAAATTAATTTGATCTATTTTGCAATTATCTGAGGAATCAAATAAAAGTCGTGTTTTAATAACGTATGCATATATATAATCAATTAATTTGTACAATAGAAATAATGATATAGTAACACAGGTGCTAATTATATAAAGATCTGTAAAAATCAGTGCAGTTGATTTTTAAATAGGATTCAGAGTTCGTCTTTGGTGGTATCCCGGAAAGAATACAAAACGTTCAAATGTTTCGTCAGATCTTCCTTCTTCTTCGCCGCGAGCTTCCCACCCTTGATGATCTTATTCAATCGGGCGCGTTCGTTATGTACGAACTCCTTATTCTCCATAATTTTCTTCATGTATTTAACGTATATTTTACCAGTGACATCTTCCTTATCCTGCTGCAAATCCTCGGCCTGCTGCAGTGCTTCCTTCTGCTCGCCGTTCGCGAATTTCATGGCCAACTTATCGTAGGCCTCTACGCAACCGGGCAGCACCAGGTGCAAATCGGTATGGTCCATGATGAATCTGTGCAGCGCTTCCGAGCTGATCTCATCCCGAAATTGGAAAGACTCTCCAGTTTTACCCAAGTACAACTTTATTGCCGGCAACTTCTTCACATCGATTCCCTGCTGCTTGGCGAACTCCTCGTTCTCCTTATCACCGTATTCCTTGACGCCTACCTCTGCGATCAGCAGATCTGTGTGATCGCTGTGCTCGCCGGCAAAGGCGACGAACTTATCGTGCTTTTCACCGTACGGATAGGCGATGTCGAACTTGACTAGAGTGGCTTGGAATCTGGGTACCAGTTTAGCGAAACTCTTCTCGTCGATGGTCACGCAACCCTTGCAAGCGAAAGCCTTCTTCTGGATGAATAGCAAGAGGAAACAGAGCCAAACACAGGTGGTCTTCATTTTCTTTGTGGATACTCTTATTGTTTCACGTACTGTATGCAAATAACTGGATTTTGTGAGACAGTTTAAAGCTTTCAAGCTTTGTTTATTCCAGGCGACATGGCTTGTTGTGATTGGGCCAGCATTAATTGAATTCTGACGTCCGCTTCGAGCGGCTGCACTGCTGCCAATAGGGTTTCCGATTTACCGTTCGTCCATCTAATGTAGAACAACCGGAAATACATTTAAAACTCTTGTTTGTTTCATTGTCGTCAATTGTAGCAACGATATCATGAGAGATTTTACATTTAGATTGGTTTAAAATTGCGCGAAGCGTAAGGTTTACGTTCATTAACTGTTGTTGTGGTTACGGTACTTTCAAAATCTATTGATGCTCATGCGGTAACCTTGTGGTATACCTGTGCGTATTCGAATATTTAAAAAATAATTTAAAATATCATTAATTTATTAAATCTAAGTCAACGTTAATAAAATGATTTAATATATAAACGTTATAGCAAAGACAAGTTTTTTTTTTATTCAATTTAATTATTGTTATTTGGTACGTTTCTTGCGCTGAGCAATCAACGTCCTGAGCTGCGAATCCAAATCTTTAATGACTTTGCTCAAATTATTTTTCTTCTTGTTCTTTATTAACGCCATCAGCTTTTCCAATTTCGCTATCTTTATAGCGAAACCCTTGCTCTTGGACTCGAATTCTTTCATCGCTCGACGCCCTTTGCTTGCGACGATACAACTGGAAGCAAATCCCCCAGGTTCCTTAAACGTAACGCCAACATTTCGTTCCAAACATTTTGTGCTATTATCCGCCACGTTAACATTACCACCAGCATTAACCATGCTTCTGCAACTATTTGGTTTTGCAATATTATAATTTTCGAAAGCCTTCGATTCTGTCGAGATTTGCTTCAACTTTCCACTTTGTTTAGTAACTACATTTAGGTCGGCCGCTGTTTCCTTCAGATTAGTGCTGCTTTTCGCATTCATCTTTGATATTGGCTTTTCATCGATTTTCTTAACTCTTTCTCGTTTAGGAAGTCCTCGAGTGGATATTAGCTTCTTAGTTTCGCTTAGCTCCAGCTTTTGCCGTTTCTTTCGCTGAGGACTGTTGCGTACAACTGTGCGACGCCCGATTACTTTCGTCCGGTTGTTCGTCGTTTCGAAGAGCCTCCTTAATCTGCAGATATCTCTGTTAGTGTTAATCGGTCTTCGGCGATTTCTTGGTTTGCGTCTTACGCGACTTTCATTCTCGGAGTTCCGAAACTGTTGACGACAAAATTCTATCAACTTTTGAACGTCAAAGTTGACGTTCTGATTCAGTGCAAGGCTACCGTCTGCATTGGAACACCTCAGGGCGAACTCCTGCAAGCTTTTCACCTTCCCCACGCAGTACGAACACAACCGCATGGACTCCTACCCTTGAACGTTACTTGCAAAATTTGCTACATTTGGGTGAGAACATCGATATTTACCATTTGCGGAGAACCGAATCTCAGGATGTCGTTGAAAATGTTGTTGAGGCATGCCTCGCACACGTTCATTTCCAAAAATTTTGCACACACAGTCTGCCAAAAGTAAACATTAATTTTACAAACATGTCACCCCTCTGAACACAATGTCAAAAAAAACTCAATATTCAACATCAATAAAAAGGATTGTCTCTGAATTAATATATTGCGTAGCGTTTTTTTTTTTATTATTCCATTCCTCGTTTCATTTCGTGTATAAAATTACATTAAACTTATGATACAAAAATTGTAATTCATATTTTGAAAACATACGACTTGTTTTTTTGCTTTATTTGAAACATGTATTTGTTTTTGTAATTACAATACAAAATAGCTAAGAACTGATTCAATTTGTTTTGTTTGTTTCTCCTTATCGTCTCCATTCGTCCATCGTTCAATAAATTTATAGTTTTAAACTTAAATAAATATTTTATGTATTCGGCAGGTGATTTAATCACTTTCAGGTTCTTTCAATTGTTCTAAAAGCAGCGCTCTCTGCTTCTCCAGCTCGGATTCGCTCAGTTCCCCGCTTTTCGTTGATACCTCAGTCTCCGCAGCCCTATTCTTTTGCGCTTTTTTCGTTCGATCGTCGGTCGGACTCATCTAATAATTATCATTAATTGTTAATAGATCTTAGACAATAGCTAAAGTAAGAAACTTACAGAAGGGGATTTCCTTTTGTGCTTCTTCTTGGATTTTTTCTTCTTGTATTCTTCGCCAACAACCGCACCAGCACTTTCGTCTTCAGAAATTGCCACAGGGCTAGGCGTCCTATACCTCTTCTTATCTTTTTTAACCTCACCCTCGGAATCACTATTACTCGAAGACTTATATTTTTTATTTTTCTTACTTTTTTTAGACTTCTTCGACCGTGAATGGTGGTGACTACAAGACTCTTCCATTTCGTGTTGGAAACTCTATAAAACCTGATATGTAAGTAACGTTCGACATCAATTAGTTGTAACTAGTTTATTACCTTGTATACTTTTATTCTCTCGCTATCGGAAGAAAATGCAATAAATTCTTCTTCGTTTTCCAATTTGGACTTGGCTTCGTCCCAGGGCAAATCGTAATTGAAATTCATTTCTCTTAGACGATTTTTGAAGTTACCCTCTAATTTCTTCATCCTCTTCGACTCTTCCTTCACGCGCTCCTTTTCCTTCACTTCCGCCTTAAAAAAAATGTACAAAAAGCATTATATGTAAGTCAATAATGTTTGTTTGGTGTTGTTTACCTTCTCTAATAACGAGTTGTAAGTTAATTTGACGTTACCCGCATCTAATGTAGCGCTCTTTTTATCTTCGCAAACAACCGTTGCGAACTCCTCGAAAGTGGTGTTCACTTTAACCTCGAATTCTTTGTCTTTGAGAATTTCCTTGATAATTTTCTTTTCATCGTGAAAGCGCGCTTTGAGATCTTCTACGTAGAATTTAAATAAATCCAATGGCGTAGAGCCGTTTTGACCTAGCATAGCAGAAAATCTAATGTCAGCTGAAATAATGGGATAAAGCTCTACCCATAAAGACATTGACGTCAATTTTCCTTCTTCGTGGAGCATATCCAACAGAACTAGAAATTGGTCCCTATTTTTCCTTGCCTGCCTTTTCAGTCGCTTCTTCTCGCGCTCCTTCACTTCGACTTCCTCCTTTTCCAGTTCCCTAATGTGATCCTCGAAAACGATCAAGGCGTCCTCTTTATCCATTGCTGTAAAGCGCAAAATAAAGAATATCAGTAACAATGCAATTAGTATTAACATTTAAGAGCATTACCCAATAGATTAACGTCGTTCTTGAATGTCGTGTTTCCTAAAAGCATCGCCTGAGCTTCACTCCACGTTGTATCATAATTGATTTCAGCCATATTATTTAGCACTTCCGCCAACTTCTTCATGTTCCGCTTTTTTAAGACTTTCGCATCTTCCTTTTCGCGTTTAGCCAATGAAAACATAACATCCTCATAAATATCCCTCCTATCCGGATCGCTCACACTATTCCAAACCTAAAAAAAAATATTGATACAATTAATAATTATTGAAATAAAATAATTAAATCTAAACATACATCTAGGCCAGTAAAAATCTCATCACATTTATAATACTTGGTATTTGATGTTATTCTCTCGGATTTCAACAGGAATTCTTCCAGAGTTTCTTTTGACTTTTTCGCCCGCAGTCTGTTTTCCTCCTTTTCGTCCTTCTGCTTCTGTGTTTTATAAGCATTAAACACCTGTTTCCGTTCGTTCAAACGCTTGAAGGATTCATACCTAGGATCGTTATGTATGATTTTTACGCACTGATCCCATGTAGCGTTGGAAGGAACGTTGTTCTCCTTGAGGATCTCTTTGAACGCTTCCACCGCTTCCTTCTTATCTTTGAATACGCGCGGCTCGGGGGTGGAATTTCGAGACTCCTTCGGCTCGCTGTGCGTAGATAAATTTGAATCTTCATCTGCGATACTACCGCGTTAATATTGTATTTAAATTGTTTTTTATAATAGATTTTACCTGCTTTTGGTGGAGGCGTGGGAATTGATATTGCAGCCAAAGTTGCAGCCATCGCGGCTTCCAAAGCACTTTTTCCACCCGGGCTAGAAGCTACATTAAATTATAGTTTATACTATTTTCTGATGTTTTTTGTTTACTTACTTGCGCTAGGTGAATTTACTCCAGATGCTTGAGCGGCCGCAATCAATGGACTCGCAACAGCATCATTCGATTTATTCTTAGATCTGAAAAACAAATACATTTATTTAACATTTTATAAAGACTACTTTAAATATATGCATATTAATATCATGATTAAAACAATGTCAATATAAACAAATATATAACATATAATTAGTAGTAGTCAATCATTTTTAGTTACTAATAAAAAAATATTAATTAGTCTCAATAACTACAAGTAAATTTCTATTAAATTTATTGCATAAATTTAATTGCAAAAGCCTGAATGAATTATTGATTTTATAAATTTAAAAAAAAAATCTGCTTAAAAAATAATTCTACAAATACTAGATACTCAAAAAGAACTTAGAACATTATCTGGTGCAACAAGTCTTAAGCAAGTCATAAATTTACATAATACTCAAAGCACATCGTCGGTATTCACTAAGAACAATATTGAAACTTGTACGCGAAATATCTTAACCTACAATTATTGCCGTGCAGTTACAATAAATACTTAATACTCGTAACATAGAGGCAATACCCTAAATCAGTGGTTCTCATACAATCTTTTATACTTCGCGAATCACTTGAAGATTGAAGTCCGACACGCGACACTAACTTTAAAAATATTGAAGCAGTTTAATGTAAAAGTAAATGAAGACCACTTCCCTTTTTTGTATATTACAATTTACTATAAATACCTGATTAAATTTACGTATGCGGCTTAATTGCTTTTCCACTGATCGACAGTACCGCGATGATTTATATATACTATTTTTATTTCGCGCGACACACCTAGCAACTAGTCACGACAGTTTGAGAACCGCTGGTTGTTAGGGAGGAACATCCAACAAGCGTACTTTTTTACCCTTTACCCTTTTTTACCCTATATTATCAACTCGCGATAAAAAAAAATTAGAGCAAAATATTAACATAAAAATTAATAATTTAATTAACTTATCTAAATCTATAAAGCATAATCTAATATTTTTCATATGTTCTAATTAGTTTAGATTTCAATTAATTATATGAAAAAAGAATAATTGTACTTACTCTTCTGCAGATACTTTGTTTTTGATTTCCTCAAGTTCAGGTGGTATAACCCAACGTGATTCCTTTGTTGTGATATTGTGATAGTAAATTTTGCCATTATCTGCAGTGTACTCTTTCCATGGGCATTGAGATAGAAGTAACTAAAATATATGTTTTTTTATTAATAATACATGTTGTATGTTAATGGATGTAGTTACCTCTGTTGGGGATTTCAAGGTGTCCGGCTTTTGCCATGAACTTTGCTTTGTCACAGAATTATAATAATATGTTCTGCCATCCGGTGCCTTGTGCTCAGTCCACTGCTCTTGTGGATTGGGTGCAGGTGCTTGGAATGCCCCAAAGCCGGGTGGTGGGACATTGAATTGTGGGATCATAGGAGGAAAACTCGACATTGGTGGCATTAATGGGGGAGTCCCAATTCCTGCAGGCGGCGGAACGAAAGGGGGCGGTTGTATGTTGGGATCCTAAAAATAACATCATAATTTATTCGCTTCAAAAGATTACTATTCAATCAAAAAAAGAATGAAGGATAGCGAAAACCAAACAAATCGCATAACCTCTAATATATTAGATTAATAAAAGTAGTAAAGCCAGTTACGTACCATTTTTTCAGTCGTTACTCAAAGAACTGTGGACATTTAATTAGTATAAAATATATCGTTTTCGTCAAATGTTTCAAATTAATTAATCACTAATTCACAGCCCAACAACACCACTTCTTCGGTCGCTAACTACATAACCTTCAAAACCGACTGAAAGTGGATAGAAGCTAGGCGCAAGTATACAGAGCTACCAACGAAACAAGAATTTTTTATATTAGTTTTCTTTAAGTAATTTAAAAAGTAATTTAAATGTGCTTGTACATCCATAAGAATTGTATGATCTGATTTTCCATGTGATAATTGGTACAAATATTATATAGGTCGTTCGACCGGTTCATTATTCATTCAAGATGTACACGAGTGAGCAACTAACTCAAACTAACTTCATTTCTATTATTTCGTTGAGTTTCTGTGTTGTTGTGGGTGTGTACAACAGAAGCTGCGAAATACGTATCAGCAGGAGCGAACAGGTTGGTAACGGATGGAAGTATTGAGTGAACGTCTTTGCATGTTTACGTGTCACGTCAATGGCAAGGGGGTTAGTTTTTTGGGTTAGTGTGTAAGAAGTTGCTGGATTGAACACTGCGGCGAAGGGTGAGTCAGATGCTAGCGAACAGCTGATAAAATGTTCAAGAAACTGAAGGATAAAATTGCTGAGGAGATTTCGCCCCAGAGGATACAGCAGCTCACGCAATCAGTAACTGATAAGCTGCAGCAGAACAACATCAGCCTCACAAATAATAGTAATCAGGTGAAAGAAGATAGCTTCTTTTCACTCACTGAAGAAGGTAGGGCTTTCATTTGTAATTACCTTTAAAAATGACATATTTTACCTGGTTGTTGTTAATTTAATTACCACAATAATCCAATTGGATTTTAACATGTTTTGAATGTTAAGCTTTGGCTTTATTTGTATAAGATATACCATTGAATAAATAAAAATCAATTACAATTACTGCAATATATTTATCACAAGATTTTTGATTGTAAAGTTTTTCAAATATTTAAAACATCAATTATTGTTATTATAATTTGTTAATTTTAGATGCGAGTCCACCAAAGACGGCCAACAACTCGGGATTTACTGATGTGCTGCTCAATGCAGCCTCTACACCTCAAAATGAGAACCGTACAAGAAGGAATTCTAATAGTTCGATAGCATCCGATGTGTCCTTCTTGCCGCGGTACGAGTCTTCTTTCAACTACCATCTGCAATCAGATTTGGACGTTTCGGCCAGCGAAATCGAGGACAATGTTTCGCAGCAGTCATCGCAACTTGGGCATGTTAGCAAAGAACAGGTGTATTCGGCTTTTACGAAGGCGCAAATGCGCTACCACAAGTATCGCGGAAGATACACGGATTTGGCTAACCATTACAAGGAGCTGGAACGCGAAAACGCAAAGATGAAAGCTGTTCTTGTCGAAACCCAGGATAAAGCAATCAGGCGAGTTTCGGAGCTGAGGGAACAATGTTCATTGAGTCAGAAGGCGAAAGCTGATCTGGAGCATGCGATGCGCACGGAACTCGAGGAGAAGCTCATCGTGATCGGTACGCTGAAGGATAAAATAGGTCTGCTTCAAAACAATTCAGAGTCCGACGAAAAGCTGCAAGAAATCAAAGCGCAAGCCATCGTCGAAGCTGAGTATAAGGATCGTCTGACTGTCATGGAGAAGGCTTTGCAAGAGGTGGAGGAGCGCGAGAAGATTAACAATCTGAAGTTTGCCAAGTCGAAGATGGAACTGCACACGGAAATACAGAATCGCGAATTGGAGATAACCAATTTGAAAAGTGACCTAGATACTGTGCGTCACGAACTGGAAGGTTATGAGAATCGGAACGATGGTAACCTCCGAGCGCAGAATAGCAAATTGATAGAAACGTGCGAGAATTTGGACGCCAAGTGCAAGAATTTGGAGGCGGAGAATTTAAAACTGGAGCAATACAAGTTGGAGATATCCGATCTTAGAGATGAGCGAAGCAAAAGTGCTTCAATTTTGAGAGAGATGGAAGCGAAGGTTTCGGAGATTCCGATTCTTGAGGATAAAATAAGGGAATTCGAGAATAACTTTAAGGAATTGGATAAAGCTAACGGAAAATTACGAGACACCTTGGAAAACAGTGAGAAAGTGGTAGAGGAGTTAAAAGAGAAGTTGTTGATCGCTGATAACGAATGTGCTAATTTCAAAGTAGAATCTGCGAGGATCCAAGAGGAAACTAAAACCAGTTTGTTGCATCTGGAAGAGAAGATACGAACGAAACTTGAGACCGAATTCAAAGAGCAGAAGACTAAGATTCAGGAAGATTTTCAAACCAGGCTGCAAGCGATTGAAATCAATGACCAAGACTCGAAGCAGGTGCAAATTAAATTAATGGAATCTGAACAAAATGTAAAGGAACTACAAGTTATGTTCGATACTTTAAAAGCCGATCTAGAGAAACGCCAATCAGCCTACACCACTTTAGAAACCAATCACTTAGAGTTGATCGACGAAAATAACAAACGCGTCGTAGATATTAACAACATGAAGAAATCGCAGAAGAACGAAATCGATGTTTTGCAAAAATCACTGAAGGAGAAAGAGGAGCAAATAAATAAATTGACGAAAGATATTGAAGACTCTAGAGCAAAGTTGAGTATAAAAGAGGTCGACATAAGCAAAGTAAACAACGACTTGCAACAAACTAAAAAGGCTAACGATAATTTAAGAGAAGAGTTTAACGCTTTGAACAATGAGAAAGTTCAGTTACAAGAAGATATTAAGATTCACGTAGATCAATTACGAAACATGAACGATTTGGAGGAAAAACTGAAGACATTAAGCAAAGAAAATGTTGGACTCAAGGAAAGTTCTAAGTTTAAGAACCAATGTGAATTACTTGAGAAAGACATAAAGAAGTTGGAAACTAATTTGAAGGAGAAATCTGTAGAATTTGAAAACTTACTTGAACAAAATGAAACACTAAAAGTAGCGCACGATGAAAGCTTAGGTACCTTGAAACGCGCGGAAGATGAGTTGAAAAAAGCAACGTTGGAAAATAAAACACTTAAAGAAAATCTGTTGAAAATTGATTCTGATTTGCTGGAAAGAAAAACTGCCTTGGAAGAGCAGACGAAAAATTATGATCTTAAAGTGAACGAATTAAATGTTGAATTAAATCAGGTTAAACAAGAAAGGGATGAACTTCAGTTTGAGGTGAAGGCCAGTGCTATAAATGTTGAAGAGTTAAGTGGTAGTTTAGAAAAATTGAAGGATGAATATTCACAGCTTCAGGTGAATCTGCAAAATGGGGATTCCGAATTGCGAGATAAATGTAAAACGCTCGAAGATAGTAATAAGAGGTTAACGGATAATATGGAAAGTTCCGAACGTGTAATTGTAGGTTTGAAACAAGATTTGGAGAAGAGTAAAAGAGAATTGAACGATCAAAGCATTGAATTGAAAGAGCTCTTAAAGATTGTCACTGAAGAAAATGAACTGTTGAAACAAAAATCCGTTGAGCTGGAAAGTACTCTTATAGATTTGAAAAAGGAAAATGAAGAGATGTCTGATTCCAGTCAAAATGCGAAGGACCAGGAAGAGCATTTATTGTATTTGCAGAAACAGTTAGAAGAGCATAATGCTTTGGTACAAAAATATGTTGATTCTGAAAGTAAATTGCAAGATGAATATGAGAAATTATCGCAGGAAAATGATAAAATGAAAGGTGAAATTCAAGTGTTGGAGAAGTTGTCTATTAAAGTGGAAGAGCTATCGCAAGAGAGTGAAGTTAAGACTTCGGTAATATCGGAGAAGGATAAGCGATTACTTGAGTTGACCGGTGAGGTGGAACTTACCAAAGAGGAGTTAAGCAGATTAGAGGAAGAACTAAATAATGTGCACGAATTACTTAAAAACTCGAATGTTGAAAAGCAGCAGCTCTTTGAGCAAGTTTCCCGCTTAAAGACTGTTGAAATGCAGTTCAACGATGTAACTAGTAATAATCAAAGTATAGAGCGGAAAATGAAGTGTTTCGAAGATGAAATTGGTGAGCTGAAGCTTCGCAATTCGCAGATCACTTCGGATAATCAGCATTTACTGGAGGAGAATGAGAAGCTGATAACCGAGTGCACAGATGTTAAGATACGGTACGAAAGCTTTGGCGCGTTGAAGAACGAGCTCGAAGTAAAGTTGAATGCTTCGAAGGAGAAGACCGAAAGATTGGAGGCTGAGCTGAAGACGATCAAAGAAGAATCGGAAGTTCTAAAGAAAGCCAAAAAGGAGTTGGAAAGCAGCCAAATCAATCCGAACGAGACTGATGAGCTGCGAAACAAGCTGCTGAATCTTAACGTCAAATTCGAGCAGACGCTGGAGGAGAACGCCCTCATAAAGAACGAGTTTAACGATATCCGCAAAGAGTTGGAGACAGCGGCCAGAGAGAAGAAGATGCTTCAGACCCAGGTGAACGATCTGGAGCACCACTGCAGCGAGCTGAGCCACGAACGGCAGCTGCTCAAGGACGAAATCGAGGAGCTCAAGATAACACCGATCAATTTCAATCAGACGGAGGTGGACGGTCTGCGCGACAAACTCGCACAGTACAAGTCCATCGATGCGACGAATCGGAATTCCATCGAGTTCTACGAGAACGAGCTGCAGAAGATGCGGAACAAGAACGAGAAGCTGAACAGGAAGCTGGACGAGACGTTGGTCATGCTGAATCACTGCACCGATCTATCAGCCTCCACGGAAATAGAATATCTGAAGAACGTGCTGTACAATTACATGCTCGGCAAGGAGAGTTTAGTTATGGCCAGGGTTCTGGCAGCCGTCTGCAAATTCGATACTCAACAAACGGATGCTGTCCTCAAACACGAGCAACACAAACAATCGCTGGTAGGAGAGACACCCTTTATTTTTTTATTGGATTTCTAAATACATATTGCTAATGCGTTTCATACCTTTTCTTTTTTGTTTTCAGTTGGGGCAACTGGGAATTCTTTAACAGTAATCGTTGAGGGACTCTCCTCCATTTCGTCGTCGTTACAAGATATCACCCTTTATTTTAACACATTACTAATTTTTACTATTTATAAAGAAAAACAAAACAGAAGATGTACATATTGTTTATTTATTATTATTATTTTATTTAATATATAATATATGTGGTTATTATTAAAGTCATTTTTTTTCCATTGTTGAATATTTAATTGGTCACTATTAATATAACAGATAATAAAATATTACGTAATTGTTGTTTTCATTCCTTCAATATTACTTAACTGCAGACTAATATAGTGGAGATATTCAAATTAATTAATGAACTGTTAAGTACTTGCAGTCGACAGTAGATGGCGGCTCATATCCTGTAACATCCGCAACATAAATTTGCGGTTTTCAGTTCATTTCGGGGTTTGCAAATCCGGGGTCCTTCAACTTGTTGCTGTTGATTCAAGCATAATATAGGTGAGTAGACCGCCGAGTGCCGTTCATCCAGGTGCTTTTCTACTCCGTTAGAGATCTTTTTCAATCAATTGCTTTCAAAGATTTAAATTTGAGCATCAATATTTTTTTGTAACTTCAAAATTCAACCGCATCGATATTGTCAATGTTGTAAAGCTAAAGCATACTTTGATATCTATCATATTAAATAAAATTCATTAAATTTACGAAAACCTGTGTTTCTCATGAATAATGAGTACAAGCTTCGTGGAAGAGTTAACATCATAGATGGAATCACAAAAAAATTGAGTATATAAAAAATAATCAGGAAATTTTTACTTGGAAAACTTAATTATAAGACAAACACTCTCCCAGTAAATAAGGTTGTCAACCCTTACAGGTATAGAGAGACCGCCTGGAGCGCCTCAACTCCCAGGGCGAAACTAACCTTCTAAACTCATGGTACTTTAATACTTTTGACACCGCAAATGTCAGTCTTATGACATTCCATGTTGATTTATATCATTTTGATTATATTTTCTCACTACATTATTTTGTTGTTGTCATGTTCCGTCCATTTATTCATTAATTAAACCCATGCTAGCCTTTCCAGAAATAGACAGCATGCAGCACGTAAGTAATTTTCTTTTGTACGATAAACTATGGGAAAATCCTCTTGTTTGTTTCTAAAAGTTTCCAGCTATAAACTTCTTTCTTTGCAAATACTTCTTTTTTTATATATATAAAAAACCTCGAGTTTTCTTCAGTTATAATTACCCATTATGTGATAATTAATTAATTATGAAATCATAATTCTTTTCAGATATTTTTATACTTTATTAAAATATTTCATAACTTTAATACACACAGTTTTAGCTTCAATCTACATATTCATGTTCCAATTGCGCGTATTTCACATAAAAACGCCAGCTTTTTTTTTTCAGTGGTACAGGCATTTTTTTCAGCGAATTACGCGAAAACCATAAGTGTCGTAATAATGTAAACGCACTTGTTTAGTTTTAGCTCTGATTTGCATCTGCGGTGTTTCAACGAGCAATTGCAGTTTTTCGAGTTGAAATGAATGAAATGCTTTTATAATATTTTGTTGTTACAACATCGGCGGCGAATTACGCGAAAATCAATATAATAATTTCAAAGACAAGACTGGAAATGCTGACACAGATGATGCAAGAACATGGCTTGTCCAATGAATCGGACGTAAGCGATTAATGCCGCGCTAAATTAAGCGCTGAAACTCTTAGTTATTTCTGGGAAAGAATATGCTTTTTCGCAATACGTTAGCGAAAGGTCAGTTTAGTTTATTTATTTTCTGATTCAGGTGCAAACATTGATTTTTATTTGTCTTATTCAATAATATTATATAAAATTTTCGATTTCAAGTGATTTTAATTTGTGTAAAAATATATTTTGCATGTAAAAAATTGTGAAAATTTATTACAATTTTTAAAACAAATGCAATAACGTCAGTTTAAATGTCAAGCATAGTTAGTCACATATTTAATGATGTTAGATGAATCATCCATTGTGTTTTCTGCGATAAAATAACGCGATAAAATAACAAAAAATGTAAATAAAGTAGAAAATCGTATATTTTTTTGTTTGTTAAATACAAAGTAATTTTTGTATTCTCGGAAAATTTTGAAACCTTGAAAGCACGTTGTGCCTATTTTCTGACTGGTATTTAACATCTGTGATTGAGAGAACGCCTGTCCGAATTTGGCGACCAACGTGGGACAATGTTGTTGCATTTAACGTACCATGCCGTACGTAGGAGATTATTGCAAATTTTCAACGAGGTTGATAATAACGCGTATAGTAAGGAATATTTAATAACAATAGTAAATCTTAATCGTTTTGATATGGTTAGATTCTAATATATTCAGTATTCAAACGATTCAAATGAAAAAGAGATGAGATGAGGTGACATTTAACATGACATAAAAATTTTAGCGATTGTTTATTTTTTATGTGTTGAATGGATATAAAAAAATCAAGTGTACACGACGTGGATATTTGCATACAAACAATGTTGAAATATTAAAAAAATGTAAAGGCAATTTTAAGTATTTTGGTAAATATTAAAAAAAAAGCGGAAGTACGAATAGGAAACCATTAATATTTTACTTCTATTGTTGATCTAAAACATAACTTAAAATTTTTAGCAAATATTAATTTGTTGTACATTTAGACAAAATTATGAAAATCATAATTATCATAAAGTATAAGCAAAATCTATGATATTTAATTTGCATTGTCAATTAATATTGACATTTTAAAATGACATAACATTTTTGTTTATTTTTGCTCATTTCATACATTTTGTGTGGTTGTTAGTTCAAATGTAAACATAGTTATTTTAATACATTTGTTCAAAGTTAAAATATTTGAGAATATTCGAAAAGAGAATTTTAACGTTTTTGAAAAATATTTAAAAATTATTATATGTTTAAATGAAAAATCAATGACATTTAATATTTTTAGCGATTGTTAATTTTTGTGCATTTCGTAAATTTTGAGTGGTAAAGATAGTTATTTGTACAATGTTTATATATTTTACAATATTTATAAAGCTAATTTTTGATGAATATATTCAAAATATCGTAAGTAAAAACAAAAAATCGATGATAGTTAACCTTTTTGTTAATCAAAGATGACATTTAATATGACAGATACAATTTTTTGAAATTGCTTACTTTTTTTTGCGCATTTCGTACATTTTGAGTGTAATATCCAATTGAGAATTAAAAATTGTCAATTGTCTATGTTAAAAGATTTAAGAACATTAGCAAACATTTTTTTTTGGTGAATTTTTAAAATAAAACGATCATTTTAACCTTCATTCGAAATTGACATTTCATATGATATAACATGTTTAACGACTGTTTATTTTTCGCATTTTGTACACCTTCTGTATAATCAAGTACACACGTATACGTATTAATTAAAGAGAATTTTTAACATTTTTTTGGCGATTCTAATAAAACTATAAGTTTTTTTTTATTATGTCATAGTATATTTAATTTACAATCTTCCTGCGCATTAAATATAATTTGTGTTTTGGTAAACTTCCCAATGGAACTTTTTACCATTATATTCTGTAATTTGTTGGTTGGCTGTCGTCTTGCAGATTAACTTCAGTAGTATATTGATGCTCTGCGATTTCACTATTCCCTTTGACTGTGTATCTGCTGCTATCCTTAACACTGTCATTGTCAATTGACTTGGATGAAGATCCATATGCTGAACCTCTTTCATTTGACTGTCCATTCATGATGAACGATGGCCTAATTGCTGCAAACACCAAGAAGCCTCACAAAGGGCCTGGCTTGACCGGGATTCGAACCGGCGCTCACGTAATCGTGGTTAGGTCGACTTAACCATTTGGCTGTTAGTCGCCCTGAACTATACATTTGAAACGAAAATCAATGAGATTTAACTTTAATAAATAATTGAAATTACAAAGACTAAATGTCATTATTGTCAATTTTAATATTTATTCTAATAAATTAAAAATTAATAAATTTAAAAAATTAAACAATGCCTTCTTGATGATTTGCCTACAAAGTTTTTAACAAACTTTTCTTATAAAACCGTTTCATATTTAATTAACTGGTTTTTCATTGACTGATATTCTAATTTGAATTTGATTAAATTCATCACTTGTTAATATGTGCGATGATCCGAGAACATTTGTGAAGATGGATTTAGTTTTTACAATTTAAAGTTACTATGTTGTAAAGTCCACGTAATTTTGTTTTAGAAACGATGAAAATAATGCTGATATGTAGAAGAGAGGCTGCATACAAACGGCGCAGAGAAACGCAAATAGTGGTATGTACAATATAATATGAATAGTTAAGTCGCAGTGAACTAACAACATGTACAGAATGTGTGAACTTTGTGCACTTACATGTAAACCCACAATACACTTTAGCCAGCAATAAATTTAAATGTGAACCGTTTATGGTATTACCTCTGTCTCTCTCTTCCTCTCGCTCAAGCTCTATTCCTATTTCCAGGAGTATAATAGTAATAGCCCAAAGAGTAGGCAGAGGAGCCCATCGTGACTACTATCTGGAGCGATGTATGGCTTCGAGACATCCAAACTATAATTTCGAAATCTAACTGTCCCGACGTTTCGAATTCATACGTTCCACATATCAAAACACACACAAACACCTCCCTTTCATCTTCTCGTAAATACGTTTAAAGTAAATAATCGGTATTAAGTGGACTTGATTTATATTTGTTGGAAAAGCACAAAAAAAAAATGAGAACGAAGATATGAGACTATTCGTTTGAATGTAAATTCCGGTGAGGAATGAGCAATTAGCGGAAGGGCGGCCTTACCGGTTCACGTAATTACTCATTAATATAAATATATTATGGTATCATAAATATATGCTGGGAGGATCAAAGGGAATTCGCGATTTAGCTGAATCCCACTCGAGTGTATATTTCACTGTTCATTGAATTATGCTGCGGCTCCTTTGAATCGCCCACAATTTCGTACAATTATTACCTAATTATATGTCTAACAATACGTTCGTATACGAGCGACTCGTAGGTAAGCCAGAACAGAAGTAACCCAGTTGCATAAGGTTAAACGCTCATTTTATGTCTTTATTACTATTTTTTTAAAACAATCATT